ACATTATCTGATATAATAAAGAAAAATCTTTTCAAAGGAAAAAATTATATTGTTTTCCTTATTATTTAATATGAGTAAGCAGGTATTCTACAATTACTGAAATTAATAATTGCGTGTATTATCAGCACGCTCTTTGAAACTAATGAATCAATTCTAAGTAGAATCGTAAGGCTCGTAATTTGGTCTCGTAAGATTTATAAGAACTTATGACTGATGTTCTAATTTTATGCGTATATATACCATAAAATTAGTATGATGATTCGTAAATATCTAACGATTTCTCGTAAATCTTACGGCTAGCAAGAAGCTAAGATATTGCATAAAGTTATAAGCATTTGTAAATTCTTACGAGAATATGTTACGAACCTTAGAATTTAGGCATTATAAGTCTTTCACATTATAGTTTAATATATTAGATTTTATATTTTTGTTTTCACTGATGGTTAATTACTTATATTTATTGATATTTGGGCAAAATTTAATAATTTTATAGATATAAATATATATACTTATATATAAAACTTTAAATAATGTTTCAAATTTGTGCTATTCCAAAATAAAGCAATAAAGACACCTACTTGTACAAACATAAAAATATCCATCGCGGAAAGTGCGCATATTATTTGTTAGATATTTTTGTATTTCAGATTGTAGATTCGGGAAACATGTTATATGACGGACAGATTAAATATATAATTATATATAAAATATGTCTTTATTAAATTTTATATATAGTTACATGTAATTTTATGTAATTATATATAATTGTATATGAAACATTTTTCCTGAGGATATATGGTGTTATTAGATAGATGGTTGATTTCTTAATAATTATTATATATATAACAATGCATGTAAACATAAATTAATTAAAATATCAGATCGACGTAGTAAACTATTATATAATTGTGTACATGTGCTCTAACACTATATATTTATAACATGCAAGAACAATTATTATTCTGTTATATAAAACTACTATGTCATTCTTTCTACTTATCAGATAAGAATGTTATAAATTTACATAATAAACATATCTTGATTATGCTGATTCTTACTAAGTTGTTATATAGTTTAGAAAGAGAGAGATAATTAGGTACATATTGTTCTCTTTCTCTTTCTTAAATATTAGTAATGAGGATAATTACACAAATTACACAATTAAATTGCTTTTTTTATTGCTTTTTTTATTGCGCTTCTCCCAGTCAAAGCGAATTAAAGAGAGATACTGATAAGCTTTAATTGCGTTCTTTTTGTAAGATTGAAGATGCTAAAATCAATTAAGACAGAAAACGCGCAATCCACATTTATTACGTTTGTTAGAAAACCTAGCATAATTTATATCGGAAAATATTAATGGTTACATTTTTTATGAAACGAAGCTGAAACCATTGTACTTTTACATTTTATTTCATAATGTAATACAAAAATTGATTACACTAATGACAGTATTTAGAAATTTTTTTCTTTTTTGAAGAGATGTTTCCGAATATAAAAAGATTAATAATGTTGTAAACGATTAATATTTTTGGTTCTTTTCGTATTTTCCTTGTTAGTTATTTCAGCGTTCTTCTTGTTGATACTTTGCGACGAAAGCCTTCCATTGTTCAGGTTTATTTTTTTTATACCAATCCTGTACTAAATTCATCATTTCTTTTTGTTTTTCAGTACATTTCTTACACTTAGATCGAAAAGCTTCTATAATAATCTCTGAAATTAATAAAAAAAAATTTTGAACCAAATTCTTGACATGTCCGTCATATTAAAAAAGTCATTGTCAGATTGTTAAATGATCAGAGTGATTACACATTATTATTTTGAGCAGCATATATGTCATAAATAGCAATATTACAATGAGATACAATTTTTATTATATCTGTATAATGATATCAGATCTAGTAAAATCCTCAAGTAGAACACCAATCATTATGACATCAAAATAATAATTAAAAGTCATTTTTATTATTTATGATTTATTAAAACATCAGTTTAATGTTAAGATGATTTGTTGTTCTGCTTGATTGGACATTTGCACGTCACTATTTTATTGTAATATTATTGTAACTTTTTTTATTGTAGAGGTTTTAACCTTTACATCCCTTTACTCGCTCCTGTCTGAACAAAATTTTGCGCGTCACGTACATCGATAAAGTACGTGCTGCATGCGCCTGTCGCTTCAATTGTTACTGTTATTTCACTTTATAATCGTAGAATTAACTAGAAGCTTAACTAGAAACTAAGTAAAATTACAATTGAAAACTATCTCATTACGATGTAATCCTTTAATAGAAGTGTAAAAAACGAATGATCCTATAATGACAAATGGGGGAAAAAATAAGAGAAAGGGTTAATTTATAACAAACATAAAATTCTCTTTTCCCTCTTTCCTTCCGTCTTTTCTTCTTTCTTTTTTATAACTAACAGGTATGAATAGAAAACTGAAATTGAAGCAAAGAATATTTAATGAATTAATTGCAAAAAATGATTTTACAAAAAATAATATTGAACGTTTTCTCTATTATATTTTTAAAAAATTAGAATATTTATTATGAAATCAATGATACAAAATATTTTGAAGGCTCCAAATTATATATAATATTCCCTTTGTATATCTATTAATCTACTTTTACATCTAATATACGTTACATTTAAATAATACAATCTTTGAACTACAATATTTAGGATTTGAGGGGATATTATTAGCATTATTTATGTTATTTTATCCTTGTTTTACATCGAATGAAAATTAAAAGTAAAGTGACACAAATAGCGCCTCTCTGATGCACTTCTAATGTCAGTTATTATTAAGAAAAACTTAAAGTATGTTAATATTTCAATTCTTGCAATTTTCAAATTTCTTAATTACATATCTTTCAGATTGAGTTTCCCAAATAAAATATATTTTCTCTCGAAATTAATTGCGAAATATTATTTTGGTCATTTTTTTGTCAGAAGTTTCTTACTTATACAATCATAAATTATTCTAAAACTACTGATACATGTATATTGTTGAGGAATATTTTATTTCTAATTGATTAACTCTTTATAGTCACCTGGAGGTGACCATGAAGGGTTGATCATTTAGAAGATCCCAAAAAGATATGAGGCTTTATATTCCTAAGGTCTTTTTTAAAAATGGGACTTAAACTATCCGAAATTTAAAATACTCTTTTAACCTTGTGTTGCTCCTTGGATGTCAGCCTTAGTGATTTTTTAAATATGTTAAAATAAAAACTTTAATTTAAAAATCCTGCATTCCATATTTTATATTCTCTTTGTTTAAAGTATGTTTAGTAATTTTTGTGATTTAAAGAATTAAAGCTGTAAATATGGCAATCAATTAAAATATTGGGATCATTTTGCTTCTTGTGTGACCAACATAAAATTTTTTGGAGATATGACTACGAAGGGTTAAAGAGTCTATCGTGAAAATTTGTTCGTTGAAATCGTGTATGTATACCTTTAAAGAATTTTGCATCTGCCGTTGTGCATGGCGCGTTTCCCATAAAACAATTATAGTATTGATCTCGCAATCTATTATTTTGAAGGATATTTTCTGCGTCAACTTTGTCATACCGATCGGAGTACAATTCTTGCGCTAAAACACAAATCAGTGTAATAACAATGATTGTCACGATGTAGTTTAATCGAGCCATCGTTTCTTCTGTTTTCACGTTAACTTATGAGATACTGATTGAATGTGCATCTTATTTATACATTTACGAGATAAAAATTATCATATGTAAGATGATGAATACACATGATATTATAAACAGAATGTACCTGATTATAAATAAAAAAATGAGCTGTGGTTATTTCTAAGTAATCAATGCACTGATCTCGCAATCTATTATTTTGAAGGATATCTTCTGCGATAACTTTGTCATACCGATCGGAATACAAACATTTTGAATACACATGGCTAATTAGCAATATAGTATGTATATGTTTTCATAAAGTTTCTACATAAAATTTTCCAAGCACTCGTAATTCTCATAAATGAACTAGTATAATAAATGAAATATACCTATAGCATAACATTTTTTCTGATTACATAAATGAAATAGTATAATATTAATTTAAGGAGACAACTTTGCACTTATATCAGGGTTGCCACAGACCGGGAAAAGTTAGGGAAATAAAAATTGGTGAAGGAAACCGGGAACAATCAGGACTCTTTGAAGGACTCTTAATTTCTCCTTTACATGTTATGTATGGAGTCTCTTCTTCCGTCGTATTTCCGTCGCATTTCTTCCGTCTTGACTATCTTAATTCTTTTCCTTTTGATAATCTTCTTTAATTTTTCGCTAATCATTTAATATTCTGTTGCAGCTTCTTCACGGCATGTGCAAGCTGTATTATTTATTAATCAGGTATTTTGTACTCTAGCTTGAATTTTAGACAAATGATTAATTTCTTTAAATTTAGTACACATAAATTAAATAAAAGTACAAACAATCTAAATTATAAATATTATATTAATATAATAAAAACTGTTATATACATGGTGAGTTTTAGATATCTATTGGTTTTCAAAATGAAATAGCAATACGATATATAAATAAACTTAAATATTAATTTCTTTTTATATATATAACAATAAGAAATAGAATACCATTTGAGTATATCTGAATATATTTTAATATGACTGATTGTGAGAGAGTTTAGCAGAAACAACTGTTTAATAAGCGCTCAGTTATTTTTTATTATATTTAGTTTCTACACCTACTGTTAGAGCGAAGAACTAAAGACAAGAACCAACCATATTAAAGAATCAGTAAGCGGTTCACATTCACATTTATTAAATAAAAATATTGGCATTATACATATCATTAGATTAAATAAAAATACGGACGTAATAGGTATGTAAACCGAGCATTCTAATAAAATTGCTGTGTTGATTTAGAAAGAGAGAGGAAGCTTTTGGTGTGTATTGATCTTTCTTTAAAATATATTAGTAATAGGGATAATGATATATATATATACATAATATTAAATAGCCCTTCCTATCATCTCCCTTTTATCACCTGCTTCCAACATAAACAGTTAAAAAAGTACTATTACTTTTCAACATCACGTTCTCTTTCTGAGCGAACATAAATGTTAAGGTCATTTAAAATAGACAGCGCATACATTTTACATTTTATTCCATTGCACAAGTACAAATTATATCAATAATTATAGTATCTAGAAATATCTTATCTTTTTTAAAGAGGTATTTCTAAATATTTAGATCCAGTAATTTTATAAATGATTAACATTTTCTATTCTTGCCGTGTCCTCCTTGTTGATTATGAATACAACTACCAGTTCTTTTTTTTCATATCCTCAACAGACTTTGCAATTAAAGCTTCCCATTGTTCAGGTTTATTTTGTATATACCAATTCTTCATTGCAAGCAGTAGTCCCATTTGTTTTTGAGTACATTTCTTACATTTGGTTTGGAGAGCTTCGCTCAAGATTCCTAAAATTAAATTGACATATTGGTTTTAATTAATAGTAAGCATAAAATTCTCTTTCCTTTCTTCTTTCTCTAATTTTTTCTTTGTTTTAATTAACAAGTATATACGTGAAATTTTAAAAAATTAAGTTTGAAGCAAAAATTTAATGAGTCGATATCTATGCAACTTTTACAAAAGTGAAATTAAAAAATAAGCTTTTTCTTTATATTTTTAAGAAATTAGAAAACTTATCCCCAAAAATTAAATGTTACAATAATCTTTGAACTCACCTCTAATGAAAAGCAATATCTTATGATAAGGGATGTCTTTTCTAAATTGGGTTCGAATGTCACAATCTTAGCGCAATTTAATGTCAGAGTTTAGAATAGAAAAAGTTCAAAATATGTTATTATTACATTTTTTAGTTCTTTAATTATTTATCTTTTTGATTTTTTAATTTTTATATTTTCTTATATTTCTCAAATGAAAAATGTTTCCTTGAAATTAATTGAAAAACATTATTTTAATACTTCTTTTATTTATGCTTATTGCTAGAAATTTCTTATACAAGCATTAATTAATCTAAAGCTATTGATACGTATAAATTGTTGACAACTTAATTGTTAATTAATTAAAATTTGTCGTAAAAATTTATTCGTTGAAATATTCCGAGTATAAGTGTACCTTGAAAGAACTTCGCATCTTCTGTCGGACATAGCGCCTTTTCCAAAAAACAATTGTAGTATTCAACTAGTAATTTATTGTTTTGAAGGATACTTGTGGCGTCAATGTTGTCATATTTATCGGAGTATAGCTCTTCCGCTAAAACGCACAACAATGTTACACTGATAATCGTCACGACGTAGTTTAATTGAACCATATCTTTTGTTATTTTCATCAACTCGTCTGAAACTGAATGGTCAATCAAGACAAGCTACCTTATATTATGAGGCATTCATCGTCTACAAATGTCAATTTTTTATTTCGTACTATGCATATCTTATACACTACGAAATAAAAAAATTGACATTTACAGACGATGAATGCCTTATAATATAAGGTAGTTTGTCTCATTACATAATGGGAAAAAATCGATTGTGATATATGTTTAAATTATCCTTTCAAGCGTATAAATATAAATTTTAATATATATTATGTACCTATAGCTAATAGCAATGGATTATGCAAATAACATAAATAATCTCATAAAATTTCCATTCCAAGTAATAATTTTTTGGCATTAATAATTTTCATAAATATAGTATAATGTTTCCTGTACAATAACTTTATCATTGGACTTGTCAATAGAATAAGGAGATTGACTCGCCACTCTTCTGTCTCGCCATGAAGAAGTGAGAGATTTACAACATATGTTTAGACATACTGATGATGTCTCGAAAGCAAATCGAAATGTCTATGCGTAATTAATTATATATAATTTTTCGATAATAAATGAGTCTTATTTTCGCACTAACAACCGCGCATATAACTCTCATTAGCCCTTTATTTGTTTTTATATTTCGACATTCTGGAGAGTTCGTTACTTGTCTTATTTAAAAGAATATAATAAAGAAATAAAAGAATATCTATAAATTTTTCTGCAATTTCTTTAATTATTTTTTATTATACAAGACTCTTTCAAGGATGTATCACACGTACAATCCTTGCATAGAAAATTAAATTTGGAAAATGTGTTTAATACTTACACTTTAAATAAATTATATTAGAGCATAAATTAAAACAATATTACTATTTATTATTAAAATAACTTATGACCCAGATAGTAAACCGTTACTAAATTTGTTGTTTTATTTTTAAATAATCTAACCTAGAATAATCTGTAATTTTTTCATAATTTTGTTATCATTTTGAAAATATGTACAAAACATCCTTAAATGGAAAAATGTATATATAGTCCGGGTATATAAAAGCGATTGCACCTCTAATTGCGAATGAAAATTGTATTGTTTATGTGTTGCAAGCATTAATCTTTCCCACTTACTAAATCAAGATAAATGCGATAATCAAGCGATTATATTATAAATAACATTGTGCATCGGAAATAAGGAAAATCGGTATACTTTATGCAATTATGTATTACATAAAACGGTTAATTTTTTTTTTTTAATGAAAACGCAGCATATGTTACGGTTCTATAAATTGGCTGCGTTTAACAGAAAAAATAGCTTTGCAACTGTTGTAAAATTCTTTAATATGATTAGTCTTGCCTTTAATTCCTCACTGGATCTAAATGTATAAACAAATCATATTGAAAAATTTTACAACATTTGCAAAGCTTCTTTTTCTGCTGAACGCAGCCAATTCTTTTATTCGAACGTATCAATAAATAAACCACTGCTGGCTTTGAGGCAAGTATTTTTCAACAAATTATTCGCAGATTTAAGATTTTCATTAACATCAGATTGATTTGATTATTAGTATTCTTATAAAAATGCTTATTAGCATAAAAACTGCTTATCAATATAATAATTAATATTAATTTAATTCTGCTCATGATTACGTTTTAAGACCGAAAAAAATTTTAACGCGCAATTTATAAAATCAGATATGTATATAAATTTACATAGAAATATTTGCCGTTTTATAAGCATACGTTGCCGTCATTTTGGTGCTTTATTTATTGTAATATTATACATAAACAACAATGTTCCATTTTTAATTTTACAATTTTTTAATCATATTTTTATAAAGGCACTATATGTCACGCTTTAATGTCAAATTATTATTAATGCGCACGTGTAGCAACTGTCTTTGCAAAGCAAACGCCTTGTTTGGGCAAGGCAAACGGTAATGTTAATCAGCATGTAATATATGTATATCAAGATATCAGTGATACAGATTTATTTGCGTGTTCTCTCGACAATATTTCTTTTATCATGTTGTGAAATTTTACGATAACAATGAAGTAGCGCATAACACATGCCATTTAGTTCATTTTTTATTTGTGTATATATATATATATAAGTTTTTATTTGTGTAAAAATTGTATTGTTCATATCGCAAAGTTATAAAAATTGACTAATCACAGTTAAATATTCTTCTCGTATTCGGCTGGTGAAATTTTTACAACTACACAGCCACTTACAATTATGCATTTGTAGAATAGGCTTTATATGAAATATGCTTTAGGGATACTTTATTTAACTATTTAATTAATACAGTTTAAATTCAGATTGTTTAATAAATTACTAATTTTATTTTGATCGAACTGATAATAACATTTTATTGATTTTAATATTTTTATTTATTTTAAAATAGTATGAACATTATAGGGCACAGCAAACAAAACAGTAACACGATTAATTTGATATTTGAGTTATTATTTTTTACAATAAATTTTATACATGCATTATTTTCGTCAATTTTAAAAATTGGTATTTATAAAGTTTGTTTTTATGCTAATACAATCCTGTGATTGATTAATAATATCTTAAAATATTATAAATCAATCACAGTCGTTTTAGCATCTTAAGACTTAAATTACTGTATTACTGTTACAGTTATAAAAAAAAGATCACGCCGTTATCACGCAGTCTCTTATTAAAAGAAAGTAACTATAATAGTAACGGCATTACAAATAACGAGTTATTTTCAATCTCAGTCAAAATTTTTGGTTAATGGTTTTCACACACGAAAAAAGTGTAAATCAAATACATTTATATATTTTATTTTATGATATATTTTTATACATTTTATAGCATACTAAAACTACAATAGAAGCATGGATTACACTAATAATTATAACACCTTGAAATTTCTATGTTGTCTAAAGAGATGTTTCTAAATATCAAACATTCAATAACTTTGTATGATTAACATTTCTTTCTGTGCTCTTCTTATTTCAGCAATTTTAAAGCAGCATTCTTCTTTTTCATATCCTCAACAGATTTTGCCATAAGAGCTTCCCATTTTTCAGGTTGATTTTGTGTATACCACTTCGTCGTCTCAGCATACATTTCTTTTTGTCTTTCATTACATTTTTTACAATTAGTTTGCATAACTTCGCTCTGAACCTCTAAAATTAAGTAAAGAAAATTCCTGATATATTGATTTTCATAGTAAACATAAAATTCTCTCTTTCCTTCTTCTCTATTCTTTTTTCCTTCATTATAATTAACAAATGTATGGAATATTGAAAAATCACGTTTGAAATAAAAAAAGACCAATATTTATGTTGTTTTCACAAAAATATATATAAAATTAAAAAATAATTTCCTTCCGTCATATTTTAAAATAATTAGAAAATTTATCTAGAAATTAACATTATAATAACCTCTGATTGTCTGAAATAAGACTTAATATTTCTTATGCATGAATATATATCGGATGTTTATTTTTAAATTGCGTTCGAATGACGTAATCTTTGCACAATTTAGTGTTAATTTTGAGAAAAAATTTAAAATATGTTATTATTTCAAATTTTCTTGCAATTTTCAAATTTTTTTTATCATATGTGTATATTTTTTATTAAGTCTTCTGACAGAAAATATGTTTTTCCCAAATTAAATGAAAAATATTTATTTATTCGGTTATTTTCTTTGTTTATGCTTATCGTTAAAAATTTCTTATACAACATTAATTATTCTGAAACTACTGATATACTAGTATATATAAACTTGGCAACTTGATTTCTAATTAATTAAAGAATTTGTCATAAAAATTTATTTGTTGAAACACTCTGAGTGTAAGTATACCTTGAAAGTATTTCGCGTCTTCTGTCGGGCATGGGCCCGTTTCCATGTAACAATTGTAATATTCTTCTCGCAATTTGTCATTTTGAAGGATACGTGAGATATCAACATTGTCGTACTGATCGGAGTAAAATTCTTCCGCCAGAACGCACACCAGTGCAATACCGATGAGCACAATGTAGCTTAATCGAATCATTTCTCCTATTTTTGCACTAACTTTTAACTGAACAATTGCTCAAATGTACTTCTTATTTATACATTCGGCACGAGATAAAAACATTGACATAAGAATGACGAATACCTTGTAGTATTAAAGTAGCTTGTCTTATTGTGTAATAAAAAAAAATTAACTGCGATAGTGTCTTAAATTATCTTCTTAGTTATATAAATCATAAATTTGAATATGTATGGTTAATAGCAATTACGTAAATAATGTAAATGTTTTCACGAAGTTTCTATTTCAGGTAACAATTTTCAACGTCTTATTCGTTAGCGGAATAAAATTAACAATGTAAATTCTAATTATTATTTTTATTTGTTGCTAAAAAATGCCAAAGAAATAAATTTGTTGCTCTGTAAGCTTTCTTAAAAAATAATGTTTTGCTAAAGGAACATAGAGTTAGCGGAACGTAATATATATGTATATAATAACGAAATTATACTTAATAATAATGTTAAGGAATTGTTGCTAATTTGTTTTTGTCGAAACATTTAAATTTTATTGATTGTGAAATAAATGTACAACGAAAAATGTTTCAACGTGCAAATGATTAAAACACTAAAATATCAGAAAAAAATTTATTTCTTTCTTTGATATTGAAATCTCTAGATACGTCGAGAGCAACAAATTCAGACAATACCCCAATTTTAAGTAATGTTTTGCTGACACTTTACTCTAGTATCGATGTTTTTCATAAGTGTGCGTTAATATTTTGTGAGCGTTTTAACTTATTTTTCTTTACCATTAATGTTTTTATATATATTTATCAATGATTAATATTACAGACGTATCCTTAACAATAGTATTGTTCCGGGAGAAATATAATTACCTGTTAAGGATATATCAAGATGTTATATCAAGAATATCTACTTTAGATTAGTTTCTCATCCCATGGAGGGATCCCGTTTGCCTACAATCGATTGCCAACAGTATCGTTTGCCTACATCACTTTTGCCGACAGTTCGTTTGCACACAAAAATTATTGCCTACAGTTTGATTGCCTACATGCACTTTTACACACAAATAAAATTTTAGAAACGAAGTTACTTTTATCTACATGTATTACTTACATGTATTATTATCTACAGCTCGATTGCCTACATGTATTATTGCCTACAGGTCGATTGCCTACGTACATTGTTATCTACAGCTCACAACCTTCCACGCGAAATGAGGGCCATGTCACATAAAAAAATGGGGGTTGGTTAGGATTAGATATTTTTGGAAAAATATTCCAAGCGGACACTGTCTACGCTGACACCCCACTGTTTACAACAGATTTCCTAAAAATATAAATTATTTTCTTATTTAACTTTAATTTTATATTTGTGCGCAAAAGTGCTTGTAGACAATCGAACTGTAGGCAATTATACATGTAGGCAAAAGTAATTCTGCTTCTAAAAGTTTTATTATATTTGTGCGCAAAAGTGCATGTAGGAAATAGAGCTGTAGGCAATAATACTTGTAGGCAATAATACATGTAGACAATAATACATGTAGGCAAAAGTAACTCCGTTTTTAAAATTTTTATTTGTGTGCAAAACCAAAAATGCATGTAGGCAATTGAGCTGTAGGCAATAATTTTTGTGTGACGAACTGTCGGCAAAAGTAATGTAGGCAAACAATACTGTAGGCAATCGATTTGTAGGCAAAAGCAACCATCTCTCATCCCAGCACCAGGTCTTATAAGTTAGCGGAACAATTTGTTGCTCTCAAAATATTCAAGTTTCAAATTTGTTACTTGCAAAATATGTGAGTTTTTTTACATATTTTGGGAGAAACTAATCTAAAGTAGATATTCTTGATATAACATGGTATTATTATTCCGGGAGAAATATGATTACCTATTAAGGTTACGTCTGTAATATTAATTATTGATAATATGTATAAATATGTATAAAAATATTAGTAATAAAGAAAAATAAGTTAAAACGCTCGCAAAATATTAACGCACACTTATACTCATACATTATGCTATATATTATACATCACGTTATTTAAATATTTTTATACATTATTGCATATTTTTATGCATAATGCATTACATTTACTGCCTATTTTGCGAAATTTAATTGTTTTGGAAAAAATGTTAGTTGATTAGACAAAGATAGAAGTAATGTTTCATGAAAAATTAAGTTAACAGTCAAAAATTGACAGTCACGTGAAATATTAAATTAAATATGCATGAATATATTAAGGTAACTGTGCTATTAATTATGAATGAATAGTATAATATTATCTATATTCTGATTCTATACAAAAATTATATTTTTTATGTGTGTTTGTAAAATAAGGATGTTGCAAATAAATATTCTAATTTGTATTGATAAAAGAAACGGTTATTGTTTTCAAGTAACAAAAGTGAAATTAATTACACTTCTATTTTATTATTAATATTTATAACATAATACTACAATACAAACACTAATTGTATTAATAATTATAACATCTAGAAATTTCTGTTTTCCAAAGAGATGTTTCCGAATATAAAAGTTTTAGTAATTTTATAGATAATTAATTCATTTTTGATTTTTTTTTCGTGCTCTCCTTATTTGAGTTATTTCAGCAGTTGTTAGCAATTATGCACCCTGATTTTTCTTTTTTAGATTTTCAATAGTCTTTGCGACGAAAGCTTCCCACTGTTCAGGTCTATTTTTTGAGTACCAATCCACTATTAAGTCCATTATTTCCTTTTGTTTTTCGGTACATCTCTTACATTTAGTTTGGAGAGCTTCGCTGGCAATCTCTAAAATCAAACCAAACAAAGCTTTTGACATATTGGTTCGAATTCATAGTAAGCACAAAAATTCTCTTTCCTCTCTTTCTTCATCTTTTTCCTAATTAATATTATGTATAGAATATTGAAAAATTAAGTTAGAAACAAAAAAAATATTCGACAAACTGATCTGCAATTTTTATTGATCTATGCAATTTTTATAACAATAAGATCAAGATCCTTTATTTTTAAGAAATCAGAAAATGTAGTCAAAAAACTATGATATATATTATAAAAAAATCTATGATTGTTCCGAATGATAGGTACGTAATATCGTAATGTTCTCATAGATATGTATTAAATGTTTGTATTATTATTTCATAACATTTAATTTAAATAATGCAATCTTTGAGCAACTTTGTGTCAATTTTTAGGAAAAATTTGAAATATGTCATTATTTCACTTATTGCAACTTTAAAAGTTTTTTATTATATGTATATCTTTTAAATCTTTCGAATGAAAATATATTCTCTTCAAATTAAATAAAAAATATTTGATAGTTTTTATGTTTATTCTTATTGTTAGAAGTACTTTATTTATATGGTTATTAATTATTTCAAAACTATTAATACATGTAAACTGTTGAAAAATAATGGATTTTTAAGTGTTTAGAGAGTCTGTCGTGAAAATTTATTTATTGAAATATTTTGTGAATAAGTGTACCTTTGAAGAATTTCGCATCTGCTGTTAGGCATGGCGCTGTTTCCATAAAGCAGTTATAGTATTGATCTCGCAATTTATCATTCTGGAGGATATCCTTAGCATCAATGTGGTCGTATCGATCGGAGTAGAGTTCTTCCGCCGAGACGCACAGCAGTGCAATACTGATGATCGTCACAATGTAGCTAAATCGAATCATTTTCTTCTAGTTTAATACTAACGTATGAGACTGAGCGATTATTTAAATACATCATCTTTTTATACGTCTGTGAAACGAGATAAAAAAGAATCACGTGTAAAATGACGAATGTTATACCTGGTAATAATAAGATCGCATGTCTCTGATTGCTAATAAAAAAATTTACTGTACTTGTCTTAATCAACTTATTCTCTACTGATCATGCATTAACATATGTAAATGTTCTCCCTAACCCGGTAAGTTTCTAGAAATTTCCAAATATTAATAATTCTTATAAATAACATTTCTTGGAATCAACTTTGCATTTATTTTAATATGAAATATGTTATGATGAGAGAGAGAGAGAGAGAGAGAGAGAGAGAGAGAGAGATTTTATTTATTGTAACAAATATGCTAAAATTGGAATTAAACTTTTTGGCAATAGGATAATTTCTGTTCAAATTTTAAATTTATCGAATGTCTTGTAAGATTGTAGCTCTTTTAAAATGTTTTAAATGACTATCTTTTCTCTGAAATATCTCTACACACCCAAACAATTTCAAATATTATCTGAGTTATGTAAAGAAGCAGGGATTAGGTACAGATATTTTATACACATATATTGAAAAATAGAATCTTTTTCATTCTACTTCCAATGATTATTATTTTTAATAATTATTATTTAAAGCAAATAAAAACGTTTATAGAATTATTAGCTTTAAGAATATCTCGATTTTGAATTTATTGCTTATTGTTTAAAAAAGTCAACTTATATAGTGTGGCGGCTCGCATACAAGAGTAAAGTACATGAAAGCAATTAATTGCTAGGCCAGTTTTGGTCTTAAAATGTTTCTAGAATTATTTGGTTATGTATAATACAAACTGGACAAAAACCTAAATTATTTTTAACACAAGAAATCTTACGAACTGATTATATTATTCAATCTTACATTATGTTTTTTTTTTTAGTAATTCTTGCATTATTCATTTTTTCTTTTTTTTCCTCTATATTTTTGTCATTCTTTATTACGTTTTATTACTTTAAAATTTATAATGGCTTATGTTATAATTATTGAATAATTTTAAATATTCTGTAAGTAGAACAAAAAACTGTATAGAAAATATACACATTTTGTCAAAGTTTAGCAAATGTTTTTAACATTATTTATTTATTAAAATTGCATTATATATAATAAAAAAATGTCTAAATGCAACTTTTAAGGAAAAAATTGATCAAATTATTTAACAGATATCTTTTATTATCTCTTCTTTTGGCACATTTTTTGTCTTACGCATTATAAAGAGTTTTAAAAAGAATACAGGATATATTGCAATCATTTCCTAGCACTTTCTGAACTAGTACACCAGGGCAATAAGTTGAAGTGAAATATACGTTTGTTTCATTTTAACTCATTGCACCGGTTCAGAGTGCAACAATAAAAAACAGACCTATAGAATATGAAAAGAGAATTATTCCGCTCAAACAGTGAAGGACTCGATCGCGAAATGCGAAACGTGCAAAATGCAACACGCAATGTAAAACGCAAAACACGCAATTCGTGCATCAAATAAGAGAAAATATATCTAGTAAATGTTCTAGAAAAAACAAACCTCATATTATATATATATCGCGTGTTTTATTTTAATTGCCCCAGGCAAATTCTATATCTTGAAAAATATGGAAAATACGAAAAAATGTTTTAGACAAAAGTTGCATGGTTTTGAGCTCTATAAAGCTAGCAGAATCAAATTAGCAGAATCAAATCGGACCTATCGAAATTTTTAATACTCATTTTGTACTATATTGTACCATTAATGATACTTCTGTACCGTATGCGATTTCGAAAAAAATTGTGGCGCTGCTGGCTTAATATTAAACTGACAGGACCAATTTAAAATAAAAGAAAAAATATATTAGAAATCAATACGATTGAATTTGTACTATTTTGTACTGCCAAAAACAACTCTATACTATGTGTAATTTCCAAGAAAACAGTGACGCTGTAGTTTAATATTTAATATTTAATAGTTTAATATTTAAGCTGGCAGGACTGTAAAGAAAACAACACAGGGAAAAAATTAACACGACTGAATTTGTACTAATTTGTATATACCATTGAAAGTAAGTTAATATTTTACATATTTTTTCCTTAAATGACTGTATTAGTACATATAATACTTATAATTTATGAGGTATTCTACGTCAAATAGGGCACCTTTGCAACATCATTTTATTTTTTTTTATATTTATTAACATATCTCTTATTCTAAAGATAAAAATATCAGACACATATTTCGCGATAAAAATGTAAGATTTTTTTAATGAAGTTATTAATGCTTTTAAATTTCATAAATTTATGAAAAACATCGCTCATGTGAACATTCAAATTATTATATTGTTAAAACCATTAGTCGTACAAAAAAATGCAAAATTATCCGAAATTAAAATCAGACTTTAATCTTGGAAAATTTTGCATTTTTTTTATTTTCTGATATTAGCATTCATTAATTTCCTGATATTCAGTTAATTATTAGCAAGGACGCACTGGCACTCCTTGGGAATTTAAGAATATCAGATTAAAGTATAGTACATAATTATTTGCATGCATGTGCTCTAATACTATACATTTATAAACATATGAGAATAATTATTGCATTGTGATTATATAAAAACTCATTTTTTTAATGCATATTTATCAAATAAGGATAATATCGCTAAAGTAATAGTATCGACAAAATTAATGATTATGATTTTCAAGAAGATGAAATCTTAATTGTTCTTTATTTTATTTCAATATCTATAACATAATACGCACACGCTATAATATACACTGAGTCATTGTTTCTTCTATTTTTACGCTAATACATAAGATACTGGATAACCGATCAAATGCGTATTTTATTTATATTTACATTTAGAAGATAAAAAATTAACATGTGTAAGATGACGAAACCCCTGGTATATAAATCGCTTTCCTCAGATCAATGAAAAAAGTAACCATTGTAATTATCATAAATTATTCTTTATTATATAAATAATGCATTATACATATAAAAGAATTGAATAGAATGTTTTGATTATATACCGGAAAAATTTACATAATCTGTTTTCTACGTTTAAAGAAATTTCCAAGCATTAAAATAATTTTTATGATATAATATTTTTTATAGTCAACTTTGCACTTATTTTAAAATAAAATAACATATTGCGATAATATTATTTATTGTAACAAGTATGCTATAATTAGACTTAACTTTTCGGCGATAGATCAATCTTCTTTGAATTTCGGATCTATTTTGTGAGATTGCAGCTCTGTTAAAATGTTTTGAATGACTTTTCTCTGAAATATTTCTACATCCAAATTTGTTAACTTTTTACAGAATTGGATCGTTTTAATTATATAGATATCGAATAATGTAAAAGAAATTATTTTTGACGCAAGATCTCTTGCATTCGATCATATTAGGTCTATTTTTTTAATTTAACTTTTCGAATCATTTATCTCTCTTCTCTCTTTCTATGTTTTATTATCTATTTATGAAATAACAAAAAAAAATAGCTTTATATAAAAGCAATCTTATTTTTTTCCGTTATTTTATAAGTAGACAATGTAGATAAATGATAATCCGGATTTTTATCTCAAGATATTAAAATTAACATAAATCTCATTTAATTCCAGGAAACTATTATAGCTAATGAATAATTAAATGAAGTATTTACGATATTCTTTCCTGTGTACATCTTTTTTGCGCATTATCACGATATACAGTGGTTTTTAAATAGCGGACCCTAATTATGTAGCACTATTCTTGATTAAAAATTAAATGATTGACAAAATATTATTTTCTAAAGATTGCCGAATAAGCACATATTCGGTTGCCCAACTATTAACTATTACGATAGTTGCAAAATAGTAGAGGACTTTTTAACTCAATTTTTGATCAGAAATAGTATTGTGTGATTCGGAAATCACTTATTACAATCTTTAGAAATTAATATTTCGTTAATCATTGCGAAAATTGCAAAGCGGTAGAGAATTTTCGATTCAATTTTTAATCAGGAATAACATTATGATTAATGTCCGCTATTTAAGAAATACTTTGTATGTAATTGTGTATATTGTTCGCTATTTAATATTTTATTTAGCTGTACACATTTTGATGCACTTATAATTTAAACAATAGCATAACATTTTACTAATGTAGCCTCCTAAGCATACTCATCTCCGATGGCCTCTTTTTCGAGGTTTTCATATATAAAAATAATTATTCGATAAATCGATTGTAACTCTACTGCTAATCTACAGTTCATACTATATGTGTGACAATATAGATTTTTAGTGCTAAGCAGGCTATATGCAGAAGAAGTTATGTATATATATAATTCCATACATTCTGTAATATTCTGTATATTTTGTTGTTTTTTTTTTGTGAATGTATAATTTTGTAACCAAATACTGTTTTTTAAACAAAACCAATTTTTTAAATCTATTTTTGTAGAGGGATCACATTAATTACTATCCCTATTTTTCTTTGATTCGTTATAAAGTAATATTTTTATAAATAAATAATATTAAGACTCGGCTATCTTGAGGCGCTATATTGTATAATATAAAATTATTAATTGCTACAGCTTTATTTTTTAGTTTTTTCTTAAAAACATAATTATTTCATAATCCTAAAATTTGTAAAATATGCTTCAAATTGAGATGTCTAATATATTATGTAATAGAAAGGTAAAATAATTATGAAATAATACAGTGGTTTTTGACAGCTGAGAAATGTATCATTATTTTAAGAATTATTTTACACTTCTATGTGATATCGAACAGATGTTTTACTTTGCCTCATATCTTACAGATTTCATGGTTATGAAACATATTTAAAAAAAAATAAAACGTAGCAAGTAATTGTATCAATTTACGAAGTAATAAATATTTCATAACTTTGAGTCTAATTTAAGATCGATTTCTTGATAATATATTGCATAAGATATCTAAAAAATGTTTATTAGATATGTTTTAGATATAAGACATTTGTAAATATCTTTTATACATCTTGTGCATAAATGTTATCCGACTTGAACTTGACGAATGTAATTCATTATGTTCTAAATTTAAATATTAACAAAATTAAGTTATTGTATAAGATGTGGCCGCAGCCTCGTTTTCCTCTATGGGTGTGGTCGAAGTCTCTATAAATGTTTTGAAGCGTTTGATTGACCAATCAAAAGAAAGAATTTTACAAATTGACCAATCAAGGAATGTTTTAAAGCAACATAATGTTTTGTAATATTATGTTGATCGTATCTTATTACACATATAAAAACATTGTAAGTACATAGTAAAGTACGCGTAATTTAGATCGTGTTCCGATATAACTGCGCAGTAATGAAAATCTGTAGTACGAGTAACGTGCACTATAGATTTTCAATAGCAATGTATATCGGAATTTATCAGCTGGCAATATTGCAAATTTAGCGCGTGACAAAAAATAGATTATCTATTTGTCCTTTTCTATGTTATCGGAAGGTGGTCGTAGCTTCGGACGCACATGTGTGTGAGTATATTCTTTTGCGAATGTGTATCCCCTCCATTTGGCTTCACGGTAAGCCGCATTCTAGTTTTGGCCTTCTGCCCTAACCGTCCTGACGTTCTGGTATTATTGCCTGTTTTCATATCGCGTTCAGTCGTGTTTTATGTAAGATGCAATCGCTTATGTGGAAAAGGTCCCTTAGACTGGCGGAAATAATTTGATATCAAAGGCCTTAATCTAATCGCCGGTAAATTTGTAAATATTCGACTGATAAACCGCATTTTGCACTCATGCATTAGATATGGGGTCCTATAGTGCTCAGTCTATTGCAACGTGATGTATTATGAAGTTACGACGAGAATTTAACCTTAAGTGGACGTTCTTGACGTAACGTGGTCGGTATATTATTGTCTCCGATTGGCCACAAAATCTTATTAAACGATGAGCGATGCGTATCAAAGGCCTGCTATTGTTGCTTATCTGCATAGCAGGGAGCAGCATTGTTTTTATCGCCTTCAGCAATCAACGATCTTCCATTCAGACTATAGTGACGGAGACTCACAAACAATTACGGAGCTTCCAGGCAAGTATAATAAACCTATTGTTTTTAAATGAACTTTTTATACGGTTTTATCTCTTCTTTTTTTCACGTTGAAGAGGAAAAGATTAACTGTACAAGAAGTTATTCTAAAAAGTACCTATTAATATTCAGTAATCTCTACTTTGTAGATTATTTTTCATTGTTTCTCTCATGTGCAAGATCTTACTTTTAGGAAAATTTAAAAGATGTTGAGGAGAAACGTCTAGTGACAGATTCCAAGTACCTTGCATTGCTTGGTCTGGATGGACAGACAGCCACCACGCCGATTAGTTCCAAATCTCACAATGTAACGGTTGTGTCGCTCGTAAGGCCTGGGAACGAGCAATATATATATGGCTTTGTTAGAAACATCAGCCACTTTTTGCCAAATAATAGTATTGTAATTTATAGCGTCGGTTTAAATGAAGATTCTTTACAAAGTATTAGACTTGTCTGTAATTCTACAAGATGTAACGTAACTCACTTTGATCTAAGTCCATTTCCTGCTCACGTCGAAGATGACACGCTACATGTTTATAGACCTTTAGTTATTCAAGTGAGTAATCGTTGAAAAAGTCTATAGATTTTCAGAAGGAAGATACTAATTGAATAATGCTTTTATGCTGCAGACAGCTTTAAATACACTAGGTAGTATAATTTATATGGATTCCAATGTACGCCTGAATTCTTCAGACATTGCAAAATATCTTTGTCCAAAATATGGAATCTTAACTTGGCCTACAAGGCACGCCATTAGTTCATTAACACATCCAAAGATGTACGAGTATTTTCATGCCTCTGCTGAGAGCTTCTTTTTTCTCCCACTAATTAGAGCATCACACTTAATAATCAGCAATTTCAAAGACATCAGAGAAAAAGTAATGCTACCTTGGGTTCAGTGTGCATTGACGAGAGATTGTATTTCCCCTATTGGTAGGTATCTTTCTTTTAAATGTTATATTTAATTCCTAAATTTTATGTAGATGTATTTCCATAATTTTATATGTATTAATAAGTATCTAATTCTTTATATATGTTAGGTTTTTAATTGAATATTTGTAGGTGCGCAATCGGCAGGTTGTAGATTCAACAAAAAACCACAATATCGATATTCTGGTTGTCACGCATATGACACTTCTGCGTTAAATATAGTTTTGGGATTGCATTTTAACTTCGATGATACGTACTATGTACACAAGGAGCGGGAAACGTTCTTTAACAAAATCCAGCCTGAAGAGATCACCGAAGAATACCTTATGATCACACGACAAAACAATGCCACCGAGACCAACGTTAAGAATTTCATTCAGGAGCGCTAAATCTTTTTTGATCTCAATTTATCTTAGGTAATTAATACGTCGGATAAGCACAACTTAATTTAAGATTGTTAAGCATTCATTTAAATTATAATAAATAGCGAAATGAACAAATTTGAAGTTACATTTCAAAGGCATTAAATACCTTTAAATCCTGAATCTACTCTTTTTTTTTCATTTCTTAATTTTTTTACGATTACATTCTTACTAGAATTAAGCGAAATGATAGTAATATATATGTGTTGCAATCTCATTACATTTATTTATAAGGCACTAAACTGCCGACATTTGACAAAGTTCATATAATCTATAATTTCATATGTTTTTGATGATCTATACATACTAACACTTGTGTACTTTTAATGGGCCGAGAATTAATTCAGGTCCTGGGCTATTATGTATAACTTTTTCCGTAGGATGGAAACGTGAAAAGTTAAAATTTTATCTTTAATAATAGTTCATTTTTCATGTTTTTGCCTAAGGAAAAAAGTTACATGATTGCTATCCTGGTGACGAAATTTTTTTACAAAGTATTCTTTGTCTAGTATATATACAAATAAAACGTAACATAGAATACATATATTAAATATAAAGATATCTTTAAGAGATTCTTCGAAATTATACACTTATTCTACATTTGACGTTGTAAATCGATACGTGGCTTACGGAGCTTATCTGTTCGTGTTTTATTGATATCGATTTTTCCTTTCATCTCTCAGTATAACATTTCAATGGAACGCATGAACATATCAAAATGTATGATCGTGTTATTACGGCGATCGTATGCATATTTAACATTGTGTGATTTACGCAATCATGGCTTTTTCCTCTTCCTGAAGTCGCTCGATATCAGATTTATTCATGAAGTAATATGAAGGTTGCCGGGATTTCTGAAAGCCAAGAAAATTAGCTCTCTGCTTTATCACTAATTATAGAAATGCATATATACGCGACTTACCAGATCTTTGACGATGCGTTTTGCACCTGTCTTGATTAATATATTACTCAAGATCTCCACGGACGTCACGCCCATTGCGTAATGAAGAGCTGTTCTCTCCAACTAGAACAGAAAGGATTAATGTTTCTTATATTTTATTGTGGCATTTCTTATTTTTCTAGAATATGTCTTTTTATTAGCCGTATAACTTTCATCAATTATAATTATCTTAATTAATGTGCTAACGATTTATAATCACGTCAACATTAGAGATTTACATTACTCGGTTATTCTTAGCGGCTCTTTTACGAAATTAAGTTGGTTTAATCTTTTTTTTATTATTTATCAGGAGATACGGCAATATCTCGGCGTTATGCTTTTTCAATGATTCATACATTATCACCGATGCGTAATGTTTCTGGATACGTTTTTGCGATAAACTTGACAAGTTCTTCATTTTCTAGAAGTACAGCGATGTGCAGAGCGCATCGACTCATCAAGTTCTTTCCAACCGCCAGTAATTTTCCACCTCCATTATTTTTATTCAAAAGTTCCTTTACACGTTCCTCGTCGTTGGCCCGAATGGCAGCATGTACTTCTTCGCGTTGATTCTAAAATATATATTAGTAATTAGGCGATCACGTTAAGCCATAATTCACAAAATAATAATATTTTTTATTACTTATTGAATGCCAACTTACTATGTAATTAGGAATTGATTGTAGAAATTGTACAGTAGCTTCGTGTTTTCTTTGCGCGGTTATCTCGATGATGCTTACTCCGTCGTCTTCGGCGTCTAAAATGTGATCGTAGCCCTCAAGTAGAAGCTCGACCAACTTTTCAGTCTCTCCTGCGTATCAGATTGAGATCGGATTGAAATAAATTGTTCTAACTTTTACACGAGCTGCATTTTTCTCTTTTTACCTCTTGCCGCAAGATAAATAACGAAGCGGTCGATCTCTTCGATGTTCTCCCGGATATTTGCCTGTTCGGCAACGTCTCTGGCTGTCCGATACAATTCGTCCCTGAAACCTACATTGACTTGCGTCTCCAGCAGCAGGTGATACAAGCCATCCTTTGAATAGGAACGAACCGCAGCGAAGTGGATCATACTTTGTCCATGTTCGTCCTAAAAAAACGTTTTCATTCTTATTCGTTGCCATTTTGCAAAGTCATTTTTATTTTTACACACAGAAGAATATCATTCTATTGCTAAGAAAAGTGATTACACTGATTATTCACTTTACTTTCTTTCTTTTAAGTAACGCTTATCTTCAATAAAGAATATTTTCTTAAAATAATCTTAAAATATACTCATACATTAAAGATTAAAAAAAATTTATTAATCATGTATACAAAACAAGAATTTATTTTCTTTTGAAGGACAATATAAAATTTTGTCGAAAAAGCGACTTTATAACAAGCGAATTGAATTTAATGATCTTGATCGAAATATTAATAAGCACATAATTCAACGATGGTTTAGCAAATTTTGTATTGGAGAAGGTACATGGAACTTGAGCTTATTTCAAAAGATATCGTTTATAGTTTTTGGAAATTACGAAACTGACGCTTTTAAAAAAAAGGAATTTATAATTTAAAATCACGCTAGAAATAATATATTAATTAAAAAAAATTTGCGTATATAGAATATTATTAACCTTTATTTAAGTACAAATGATTAAAAAGAATAATGAGGCTTGAGACATAATGTTGGAATATCAAAAATATCTTATGTAAATAATTACTGATTAGCTTTAAAGGAATTGCGCAAATAATATAGGAACAAGTGTCAGAGATGGCACAAAGCAAAGCGCGAAATGTACAACGATACTCGTTTGTCAAAATCATATAAGATACGAATGACTGCGTCATCACTTTGGTATTCGCTCGACGACTTTCGAAGGGGACGGCAGTGGTGCAAATCGCTCCGAATGGTGCATTAATTTGTAAAAATTAAATATGAACGCGAATTATGTATATTAAAGGTAAGAGGTTGCCCAAAACCTTAAGGTGTATAATAAGGATAAAGAAACAGGTTAGAAACTATTTAAAATAATAAATTCTAAATAATTCTTTTATCTTTTTATTAAAAAGATATATTTTAATAGTGCACATATAATTTATTTGATATATTTGTGCTTATTTAAACGAAATATTTGAAATTAATTATATAAAATAAATAACATGCGCCGCTAAAACTAAACTGCTGATTTCTGAAAAAAATCGTTGCAACAAATTATTTCATGAATTCCGCGACGAAATATTAATTGGTTTTAGTTTATTTTAATATAAAAAAATAGAGAACAAAATTTGTTGATGCCAAACTTTTTTTAGGAATAGAAAAGAGACCGGTACTTGATAAGGTGCTCTTAGTATTAAAAAAAAAAGAAATGTGCAGGACACGAATGATTTAGAGATGTGTATGAAGGGTTAAAAATAATGGATCCTTAACTTTTTAAATCATTTTAATTGCGTCAACGTGATAGATTTAATAAATCTTTCGATATATGAAAAAATTAAATTAAAAGATTCTTTTTGTGTAGACTGAATAATGGATTATTTAATTTTTTAAAAGAAGGAATTCGATATTTTGCTCACGAAATTTTAATTGATTATTTGTGTTATTCTGGTGTTATCTAATCGCTATATAATGTAATAGTATTTATATATAAAAATTGAAAGACTAAAATAAAAAGAGTAAAAATATCAATCTAATTTAAATTTATTAATAGGATTTAAAATATATTTTAAATAAATTTGATATTTGTAATGATAGATTTGTAAATATATGAACTTTTGAAAAACTTGAAGCAAGTAATTATTATTTGCGTACAGTATGTATCTTTCCGTGTGTGTTGCAAAAGATCTTGCAAAGAAATTTTAGCGTAAATTCTAAAAAATTTTGTCCTACGAAAGTTGGAATACATTTTTATTTACATACCCTGTTAGGATTGCTAAATGTGGATTCAGGTATGTCAGAATCTGGACTTTGAGGATAGCCAGCGTCGTCGTCGAAAGTGTCATTCTCGATATTATTATCCAAATTTTCTTCTTCGTGATCGGATATTAAGAGGACATCAGATTCCTGAAAGTAGAGTGAAAAAAAGTCAGTGAAACAGTTCAATATCAATACGATAATAATAATATTCTGTGACGTTCAATTCTTCAATCGATCGAATCGAATGTATACCTGTTCATTGGCTTTATTCTGGCTCGCAAAGTTGTATAAATATGTCGCAAGATATGTGATCGGATCTTTTGGACGTGCATTAGCTACTTCTGTTAATCCTTTAATTAAGGGATCACCCAGCGCTGAAGAACAAATGATTTTGTTACATAGATTTTTATAAAAGTATGCTATGACTATGTGTATGCTATATTTACATGATGCTAAATAATGTCCTTCCTCCGTACGAAATATTGGAATGTCAACTCCGCTATCATCTGCAAAATAAATCCATTAGATTGTCAAATAATAATTTAAAAAAATATTGTGCACATATTATTTTAATTTAAAAAATACGGAAAGAACGCGATTTTGATGAAATATCTAAATATTTTTAGCTAGATACAGATCTGAAAATAATTTTATTGTATCATCAAAATAATTATGTAGGAAATTAGGAAACTCAAGCACACACGATGAGCGATGCTTCAAAAAAATTTGATATTCTTCTAGCAATTAGTTTCAGCATCTTATATAATTATTTTAATGATACAAGCAACATTATTTTTAGTTCTATATCTAGCTTAATTTTTAGATACTTTAACAAAAGCGTTCTTTCCGTGTAATTAAGTCATAAATTAAAATTTTATTGTTAAAAAAAACTAGCATGCACGTTCTTAGCTTTAATTTGCTTTTGCAATGTATTTTTTACTGAAAATGATTATTATATTTTTATATAACATGTGCAAATTTTAATGAAGTTTTAGTGAAATCCCAAGCAAAAAGTAATTCCTTTTTTAATTTTAATTATTTCCTATAATTTAGGAGAATTTTTTATATTTATGCAATAATTGTTTCCAGCTCTATTAAAGATATTATGAAACTCTGTGTAATATAGCAACTCGGCAAACGTGATGGCAAAACAGAATTAATATTATTACAATACAATACACACACACACACATTCACACACACACACACACACATACACACAAGTTAAAATTTAATGTGCAAAAGCATAAACAAACACAATTGCATAACACAAACACGATTTATTTGTCTGAAAAAGCACTCGTGAATTATACTGTATAATGAATAATTATAATCGCGCGCAATTCTTAATCAATAGACGTATAAGTGTCAATTTGTTATCGTCTTATCGATAATAAAGTAATTTTCTACTATTGAGTAGAATATCAATTTTTATTTATTACTCTTCTATTGTAGTAAATATTTTATTGCGTAATAAAATATAGTTATTGCATAATACATTACACAAAACAGGATAATAGTAATAAAAATGTATGAAGTATACATGTATTATATATCCGTACATATTTATAAAAATTAATTACAATTTGACATTTAGATGCCTATTGACTCATTTTTTAATTAATAAATTTACATTGCGATGCTTAGAATAAGAATAAAAGAGAAGAGTACATAGGTCTATTTTAGTACGAATAATAACACTGAGTTGGAAAGACGTGTGCTTCGCCATTTTTATTTTGTGTGAACATCAACTCGTGCATTACATATAAAAAAAGCTATTGAAAAAACTTTAACATATTTCAAGCTTATTGTGCCACCAATATCGCCTCAAAAATTTTTATATATTCGACTTTACATGAAAATAGTGTCACGCTTACCAAGAATTTATGTAAACACGACAATCTATCGATGAACATTATTAAATATTTCCTATAATTCTTACAGTTGTAATTACGAATCTTCCCAGTAAATGTTAACTAACAGTAACATCACATCAATGATATAATTCTCACTCAACTGTTACGTGCAATATATGTGTTATATTACATTATTATTGAGTGGCAAGTTATAACATTGATTGTAATATTACTGCTAGTTTGCATTTGCTAGGTTTGATTTTGAATAAACATTTATTTTGTTATATTTTACATCGAGGAGAATTCATGTAAAATCGTTGCTCGAGTAATGTTAAAATATACAAAATTTTTACAATTTGCCGAATTACTCCAAGAGAACAAATATTTACAAGATATAATTGTGAGATATTGTGCAACAATATATCGTGTATAATATATACCAATGCTGATATAATAATGCTGATTATTTACTAACCTAATCAGCAATCCTGCGATCTCGTCGCTGGTTAATCCAATTAATAGAGTGTAATTTAGTGTAATTTCATAAGAGAGACGCTGGTGCACGAGAGGAAATAAAATAACGTTCACACATCTTTCCAACGCATTTCTCTCTCCTTTCTCTCTATCTCTCTCCCTCTTACTCATTATAGTCTAAATATTACTTAAAAAGTTCAGTCTGTCAAGAGTAATTGACGATTAAACATTGGCTGATAATTATCACAGAAGATTTTCACGAATAAGCGTAAGTGTTTCTTATAGAAAAACTTGAGAGAAATTTTAAAGAACGGAGGCTCTCGAAGGCAGATCATTAGTATTGTTAAATAACGAATAAAAGTCGTTTTGCTTTTCAGTATCTAAATATATCTGACAATGAATAAGAATTTTTGCCATGTAACATTCCTCAGATCATGTTAATAATTTTTTTGATAAGTTATATAATATATATACATATACATTTTATAGAAATTATTATTTTCGATAATTCTCGTTTGGTTGCCTTATGCAATTTGTTTTTAACAAACTGTTGCTTGCCAATTTTGTGCCTAAAGCGGGCAGAAGATGATTAAATCGATTATTTTTAATAACTTAAAATCTAATATTATTGTCTCTCGAAATTGTGACCGTCAATTCTATGTCTTCGGGAGATTCCTCGTCGCGTTCGCTCGCTTGCGGAATATGCCGGTGATGAGATTGGCGATCTTCATCGAGTTGTTCAACGATAATTCCTTCTCCAGCGTGATGATATTGTGCACCGCTCTGGAGAAGTCCTGGAGGGTCTGCAGTTCGGTAATGGCTAGTGATTGTTGATTACCGATCCTCACCATATCGCTTTTCACGGTGTCGCGCACGTTCAGGCCGCGCACCACGCATAGGTGTCGCAAATTGTCAGGCGTTTTCGAAAGTTCAGAAAATCGTATGATCAGGCAGAATCTGATGGTGTTGCCGAGGGTGTGCGGACGGGCGGACAGGAAACCTAGCTTCTGATCTCGTTTGAATTTCAGTCTTTGGTCGAATATCATCATCAGTTTAGCTACCCTAACATAAGCGCGGCCCAGTAAACCTGGCCGGTTCTCGTTGGTGCGACAGATGATCCTCAAGTGATCCTGAATGTTTACCCATGCCGCGAGATCGCCGGCGGTGGTGACGTACACACCACGTCCATAGGGCCAATGCTTGCCGTGAAGACGCCGTTCGTCGTTTGGCTCGAACTCCGTGATTGGTAACAATAGACCGGCTGCCGCTAATTGCGCCCGTATTTGGCTGGGTTGTTCGAGAATTTCATTAAGCGTGAAGTACGTGCCGGCCTCGTCCTCGCTGCTTCCTTCCGCCATCAGGTCGGTTATCTCTGGACTCATTAGTTGATTGATGATTTCTCTTTCGACCTCCTCCAGTTGATTGATCGTCAAAGTCAATGGTAGGCTGTAATTAACTAGGTTCCGGGTACACTCTAAAATACCGGCTTGGATATATTTGGCGGTCGGGTCTAGATCATATTGTTCGAGTGCGGTGACGATCGTTTCATCCGGCGGACCCTCCTCGCCCTCTTCGCTATCGCTGAAGAAACGTGGTAGCGAATGATCGGGTAGGTCGCCACTTGCGGTTACGCAGTGCAGCTCCCGAATGAAGGGATCGAAGAACTCCGTAAAGACGACATAACTTTCAAAATCAGGTGCGACTATGCCATAACCATGATCCTCGTCTGCGATGCTGTTGATGGTTGAGCGAGCACTGCTGGTCTTGGTGCCGTTGTCTGTGACGGTACCGTACCTTTTCAGAGAAGGCCAGATCACGTCAAGGAGATTGTGATCCATGCGAGTCACACGGTGCTTGATCAAATCGAACACGGGCCGTTTTAGACAACGAGCGACTAGTGTACCGGCGTTCGACGACGGGGTTTTTGGTAACGACGATCGCCGGTTGCCCGCCAGTAATCGGAAACATCGTTCCAGAGTTGCTAAGACCTCAGGCTCGCTCACGTCACGCCGAGCCGAGTAGATATCACCTCCGGGTACTGTAGATCTCGGTTGAGTCAGCAGCAGCGGCGGTTGAAAGAACATCGGTGTTGAGAGATGTAGGTTGATGAGAAAAAGTGAATAAGCAAATTTTGCGGTGACATTAGTAGCAATTATCAAAGAATAAATGTTAATAAATTAAGCTTCAAGTAAAATACTTTACTTGAAGTACATGAGAAGATGAAATTGGTTGTTTTTACAATTTATGACGATGATCTTTTGCATACTTGAGATGTTGTATAGTTTTGTAAAGAATAATTATTGCAAGATCAAGAATTTCATGCAGTTGTGATGACTAAATCATTTACAATTAAAATTTTCTTTTTCTTCATCTTACAATAATTATAATGGTCTATTAATTATAACGTTCCAAACATAAATTATTAAATTGGGGAATAAAAGTATATAAGTAGCGAATTTATATTTCACACCTTAGCTCGATTAACATGCTGAAGTGTTAATTGTTGATTTGGATACATGCTATTATAAAAATAATTGAGCAAAGCACTAATCAATCTACAAAATTAAAAAATTAGAAAGGGAAAACATTTCAACAAGTATTTCGACTAGGATTCTTACGCGGTATTTGAGGGATGACCTGACTGGGTTTGTCTAAAAAATACAATTAATCGATCGTATGCGAAATTAAATATTCTAAAATGATTAAATTAACAATGTTTTTATGTGCGAAACAGTTAATAGATACTTAACGAAATCGCGACACATGGAATATTTGTGCCAAGTGCGACATTGTCGAAGATCTTTGTCGAGATTTCAATTTGGATTAGAAACATCTTTTTGAACACAAAACATGAAGGGTGACGTCGCGAGATGGAGTGCCCGGACGATTTATGTCGCGATTTTTTTCTAAATATTTATATTGCTAATGGTGCTTTAAAATGCTTCAAATCAAGAAATACCTTTATCCGTTAACATTTCTTCGGCGAGTGTCTCGGTAGCTCCGAAACTGCGAAGAAGTTTTTTGTGCGATAAGTCACTTTGATTTCGCTTGTAATAATCTGCTTTTTGTCCGAACTGCGTGACAAAAGATAAGATTTTATCAACACCTTGCTTATAGCAGAATAGTTAATTTATGAGAATTCTGCGAGCACTTTCTTAGCATAAATTAATTCTTTATTTCTATTAGAATTCAAAATTTGTTTTAAACTTTATTATTTAGTTGGAGAGCGCAAAATTTTGCCCTTTTTCGTGATCGTCGAATTATGATAATAATAAAGAATGCAATAAGACATTATAATAGTAGGTTAACTCACATTATCCTCTATTAAAGGATTGGCACCCAAATGTAGCAAAAGATTATAGTAATGACCGTTGTCTGCGAGCGTCGCAGCGTAATGTAACGGAGTTCGTCCGTCGAGATCGATCGCGTTAGTAGTTTCTGGAAACCTTCCTGCCAGATACCTAAATCAAGTATAAAATATTCAATTGAATGGATTTAGTAGCAGTTTATAGCCTATCATTCGAACAAAAATCTATCGATATGACAGAGATAAATCATGAGCTATCGATGGTTTGTCTAACAGTTATATAGACGACTTACTTATCAAGTAATACCCTTGCATTATATCTTTTTTATCAGACAATAACGAGATTTTTAACCTTTACAGGATGAGAAAGTTACTATACTGGCATTGGAACATTGTCATATTTTGAAGCAAAAAATTTTGATACAATAAAATAATGAATTGTAACAAATCTTACTCAAGAAAAAGTTGTAAGATTTTACATATAGATCTTCATTCTCTAAAGGTTAAAAGCGTTGTTGATTAGAAGGAAGAAATTATAAAATTTTGTTATCAAGCAGAGCAAATAAAATATATGTTGAATATAAAATTAAATGTATATATATATATATGCATGTATATACGAGTATGTCTAAATATGTTAATAATACCTAATGATAACGGTATTTCCAAAGATAACGGCCACGTGCAATGGCGTTGCGCCGTGGGGTGATGATTCGTCTCGCGCCACCGCGAATTTACGGCGATCTAATGCGCTTTGTAGGTCCCGAAGATTTCCTTCTCGCGCTGCCATGTGCACAGTATGAATTTTTCCCTAATATTATATAATATATATATATATATTTTTTATAAATAAATGTACATATATATAACGCTTTTGCTTTCTGTTATTGCAACAATAACGTACCATATAAGTCGGAACGTTGTCGATGAAAGCTTGGAGTTCGGGATTTCCGCACTGTCGTCTGACCAATCGTCGGCCTTCACCATTGAGAACGAGAGCCGCTAATTGTTCCATATTGTCATTCTCTAATAAACTATCTATTTCTAGATCTCGGCCCATACTACCCTCACTCAATTCTACTTCCGCGGGCTCCTGATGTTCGCCGACGATTACCTGCTGTCATATTTAAGTACAAAATCATGCGCACGGCTAAGAGACACACTCGATCGATAGGAGATATTAATCACATATGGGAATTCTACATGCGAATCGATCGTGTGTCTCTCGCCGCGCCTACGCATATTCTACGTATGTGTGTATAGCACACAGGGTGTCCGTAAAAAAAAGTCTATTGGTAACTGTTGTGGGTAACTTGAGTCTTATAAATAGACTTCTGTCTAAGGAATCGTACTTTCTAAATTTTTTGGAGTGATTCTCACTCTAAAGAATGAAAATGGAGCTAGTTTTGAAAGAGAGTGGCTCAATTTTTAATCTTTAAGAGTGATATTTTACTCTTCAGAGTGACAATTCACTCTAAAAGTTTTAGAGAGTAAGAGAATTTCTTTTCTTCATTTTATTGGAGGAAGTGAATTGCAATTTTTTTCTTAATTAAAAAAATGTTATTATTGAACGTAATTACTATTACATATTATACATAGATATTATATAACATCGTAATTCCAGGGACGGACATAGATTGAGATATCCCGGCTTCTTCTTTGTATTATACAAGGCGCAGTGCAGTGATCGTGACAATTCGATTAAGACAATACCTGCTCTTCATCTTGTGCAGGATCATCAACGCCAGAATCGCCAGTACTAGGCTCGTTTCTTTCTTCGTGTTCGACGGTTTCATCATTAGCGATTTCCTCGATCTTCGGGGATTCCTCGTAGATACCATCCTCATTATCGACGGCCTCAGGCCCATCCTCCTCGTCTTTCGTTGGCTCCGCGACAGGTCCAGTTACCACGTCATCGTCAGATGATGCTTTTTCCTCTTGCTCTTCTTCGTTCTCATTGGTGGCATTTTCCTCGTTATTTTCTGCTTCCCCTTCGTTTTCATCTCCTCCGTCATTCGCCTCATCTTCATTTTGTGCTTCCTCCTCTTCTCCGTTCTGTGCTTCCTCCTCTTCTCCGTTTTGTGCTTCTTGTTCTTCATTCTGTGCTTCCTCTTCTCCATTTGCATTTTCAGCCTCCTCGTTTCCATTCGGAGTTTCAGCCTCCTCATTCTCTTGCTCATCATCGCCTTTCTGTTTTACCAAATCTCGCATATATAATCCATCATATCATTGACCTGGAATTATGAACTGGAAACCCCCCTCGTATCGAAAGAGGAAAAAAAAAGAAAAAAAAAATCTTCGTTTATATAACTACTCATTCCGACTACGACACTACATTTTGACCGGGATGCCATTCTATGTCCGGCTATAAGTGATTTGATGGTGCGCTAAATAATTATTAATCAATACAGATGTGTATTATACAATAATAAATATATCAAATCCAAACTTAGGCAGGCAGATAACTATCGTGCATATAATTAAGATAACAATGACAAATATACCTTCTCATCCGAATCCTTCATTGTGGATTCGGCACTACCGAAAGCGCTATCGTCACTGTTAACTTTCTTCATGCCTCGCATAATGGCTCCTTCCAAGATCCTCCAGTCCCAATTTTTTGGATAAGTATCGAAAACTCGGGGCGCTTCCGGTATCATTGACAAATTCGACAGGTCTACGTCCGAAGGGCGGTTCTTGTAAAATGCAGGCGCTTTTTGTCTCTAATTAACAGCAAGATTTATAGAGTTATGGTAGCATCTTATCGATTAATTATTTCTTTCCTTTTAATTATAAATAATCGACTGATACTCACGTTATCCAGTTTACTTTCATCGGCTCCATGCTCTGTTAAAAGATCATACATGACGCCGTTGTCCTTAAGTGCAGCTGCATAATGCAATGGAGTTTTTCCTTCGTTGTCTTGAGCCGCTACCGTTGCAAGGCATCGTTCAAGGATTTCACGTGCGATGTCTGTGTATCCCAAACCAGCAGCCTTACGATAAAAAGATAGGATAGATTTTTCTCGCTTCGAATTTTAGCAGTTGAAAAAATTTATTGGATTTTCATCATAAGAGCTTACTTTATGAAGAGCATTTAAGCCATTTGCATCCTTGCCGCATAAAATAATGGGCAAAATAGGTTCCTCCAATTTTGTCTTGAGACCCTCCAAATCATTATTAATGACTGTTGCGTGGATATCCTTTATTGTGCCCTGCCGAAACCATAATAATTTTATTTAATAATTTTTTAGCTACTGCCATATTAAGATTTTTATTTTTTTATAATTAATTGAACAATTGAGAAATACGTGTAATTACTAATTTATTTACTGACGTACCATAATAAAGGGCACGGCTTCTAAGAATCTTCTTATCCGCGGATTATTGCTGGTCTCGCATCGAAGTTTAGATCCATGTCCCTCCCACAACACATGCTGTAATTTTCCGATGTCTTTGTTGTGTATCCATATCCTGATATTGGAGGGCTTGAAATCCATATCTGAGCATAAAGTGAATGAATACGATTTAGACAATATCTCAGGAATCTCATGACTATATTAAAGAATCTAGAGTCACGGCACTTTTTTTATTGTAATAATAAAATCGATAAAAACGTAAAAGCTTTCAATGATTCAGGCAATAGAATTAGATCAACTACAAAATATAAATTTAAATAGTTACAACCACTGTACTACTCTTTCGATAAATTTTAAAAATTATTTAGATGTAGCTATATCAAGTCAATTCATATTTGGCTAAATAATGAACACAGAATATGAAATAAAAATAAGCAATCTCACATGATCATCGCGGAAATATTACAGTATAAGATGGATATTTGACTATATTTTACAACTACATTGACATTTACTGACATTTAAATAACGATGTTTTTATGAAATATTTCATGAATGAACGGGAAATGACTCCTTGAGCTATGTACCATTACTAAGACGTTAAATTTACAATTCACAAGAAGTTTATAGTTCAATAAATATTAAATGTCAGAACAATTTAGTGTTTAGAGTGTTACATGTTCTTTATGACAAGGAAATTCCTTTAGAATGTCACATCTTTATTACGATAAAAACGTTGATGATTATTATTCTCAACAGATTTGTTTTCTCTGAATGTAATTTTATTGTGATATATGTAATTTCAAAAGTTACGTTATATTTGTATCAAAGATTGTTTGCATAATTTAAGTTGCGAAAGTTAGTATCTTTGCAATTACATCGGAAATAATTCTGCCCGCTATATTCAGAAATATCTGTTGTTAAAAATGAATTGTGGCGCAGTTAGATCTATTGAGGCGCGCCTTTTATAATAGTTGCATGCACGCTACATTTAATATTTGATATCGTCTTGAATACGCGGATGGCAAGTACAGTTGCTAGTTAATAAATTTTCTAAAAGGTTGAGCAGTGTACGGAGTTTGTCATATTACTGACACGTTTCCAGTTGCGCATACAGTGCACGTATTTTGTTACACGATAAAGAGAACTTGTTTTTACGCTATCTGTACCTATTTACAACTCTTTACCTGTCGTGCTTCAGTATTTCTAATAAATTATTATTGCCGCAATAGTTCGTGAAATTCTACGATCACGCGAGATTTCTCAAGGATTGAACGTGTAAATACGAAAACGATAAGTCTATATTGTGTGAAAATATATAATGATTTAATGGATAGTTCTAATTGTGTAAGACAAATCTTTGAATTTATAGTGAAAAGAAGAATTATATCTATTAAATTATTTTTGTATGAGAATACTACATGAGAATATTAGCAGCGTTTTAACGAAAGATATTATTTTAAATTTATTTTTTAAATAATAGAAGTAGTTCAAGGTATTTGTTTGTATCGTGCGCAAGCAATTTTACAAGAATTGCTTATGTACAATCGCATAAGAAGATAAGTCGATTGTTGGAATGTATATTTACAGGAAATTGCTTGACTTCGATCCTCGAGCGTAATTGCTAGCATGGCAGTACGATCGAAGAATGGAAGATGAGTTCTTATCATTGGTGAAATTAGAACTCAGCCGTTAGGATGACAGGTCGATCCACGACTTATTTATTTGCGAAGTCATTTAACGAACGAAAAAATAATGATAGACGTAATGGTAGTCGTAGTTCTATGTAATTCCGTTACATTGCAATTTTTTTACAATTGTATTTGTGTCTCTTATTTGTGTCAGTGAGATGAACGATAAGAGATGCTGATTAAGAATGAAATAATTTTTGCATAGCATAAAGTATAATTGCGAATAAAAAAATTTAATGCTTTGTTCTTTCATTTAGATTTTATAATTTGCACGAGGTGATTCTTCGACCGTGTCTCTATATCGAACGCCGCAGTTAGCCTTGCCTTACAAATTTATGTGCTATCGATTCTTCACGGTCATTAGAAACGGATATGTGGGGCATAAGGCGAAGAATCTATATCCGCGAAAGTAGGAAACAGGCGAAAAATGCTATAGCATTCCGTCAGTCACAAGGTTGCCCATCGAATCGCGATGTTTCCTCGAAATTGTCTTAACGACTTGCTGACGAACCAGCGAAGTTAATGTAATATTTAAGCACGCTTATCCACTTATTGTAAAAAGTCAAGATATGCTTTGTATGTGCATATATTTTAACAATATAAAAACACTTTATAAGTACTTAGCTTATCTATTTCATTTTTACAAAAGGGGGATATTATGTTTGCTTTTTAAATTCTTTGGAATGGAATATCACTTAACAGAGTAAAAATTGAGCCACTCTTTTTCAAGATTGGCTTAATTTTTAAAGAGATTTCACTCTAAAAATTTTAGAGAGTATTTAAAAGTTTTAAAAAATATCTTACGTGATATGTAGAGCAAAAGAAAAATATAATTTTCGATAAAAAAAAAATAATTTTCTTTATATTATCATAAAATCAAGAATATATTGTACTTAACATTTTTATCTTTTGAAATGAAATAACAATACTCACTATCCTTTGCGGTACTTTTTCTTCGTCGAGTTGTCATCTCTACTTCCGGTAATTCAATCTCCGAAGAATGTTCCAAGTAATAGGAGGCCGGATTTCCTTTCTTGTCACAAATACTAGCGTCACATCCGCTTTCTACGAGAATATCCCAGATTTGATCAGGATCTTTACACACACAACAATAGTGCAGGGCTGTTCGTCCTTCCTAAATCGTAAAGAATGACATATGAAGTATAATCGTCTAATCATAAATGGATTTAGAGTTTTTGAGATTTAATGTCTTCGATGAGAGGGTATCAAACAAATGGTAAAGTTGATATGCGTAAGATCAAAATTGTTTTATTCGTTTTTGTGTATTTGTATATATTTGTTAGTGCAAGCTCATGGCTGGCAAGGAAAGAACAGGTGGTTTACACTTCGTTATTATCAGCGTCACGCGATGCGGGGTCGTGACAAACATTGCTAGGAAGAAGTACTATTCGATTATTCAGGAGCTTCTTCTCGAACAAGTTAACAAGCGTTTGCGACACGATTCCATCGTAAAAATAGACGAACTTTGTGAATTATAGAAAATAACCGATCGAAGTTAATATTCGCGTCATTATGTTAAGGCTCGTGTAAATTAAGACCATTAAGGTAAATATTGTTTTTTAAATAGAGCAATTTAAAAAGAGAGAAATGGATTAGTTTTATAAAAACTGTTACCATTAAACAAGCTCTTATTGTTATACTTAAGATGCTTTGACTGAAACCGATTGAGTGTTTAGTAAAATTTTTATGATGCATGTAATTCGTTTTTACGACTTATGGATAGCAATGTTAGAGAAGATTTACCCTATCTTTCTGTTGTGGCGTAATAGGGTAATTTTCTACAAGCCAAGAAACTATCTCGGGTTGATCATAGTAGACCGCTTTGTGTAACAAAGGTACTCCACATGAATCCTTCGCGATCGCCAGCTTTTTCTTCGATTCCTCAGAAATTATCTTCTGCGTTTCAGCTAACGAGCCGCGTGCAACAGCATCGTGCACTTGAGAGATCTTCGTCTAAAATAAATCGAACGATTTATTTGATTTTTATCAATTTTTTCTTTTAATGAAATTCTTTCAGCTTGAGAGTAATTTTTTAAATTTATAAAATTTAGTGGCTGTTTAAAATATCTCTTGTCTATTACTTACCAAATAGTTGGGGAGTCCTTTCAGGAAGACACGAGTTCTAAGATCTTGCGACTGTTCACCTAATAAACGCGTGCCCCGACCCTCCAATACAACATTTTCGAGTCTCTCAAGTTCGCCACGATTCAACCAATTTTTTACAGCCGAATGCATTTCAGCCCCTGCAACAGAATGACAATCCAAAAATTTAAAAGATAAATATTATAAATATAGAATACCTAATCATGACGCAGTTTATTTGCAAGAGTATCAACAATTTTTTATTTAAAGTGACATTCTATCCCATTTTATAAAATGTGTAATTGCATTTGTTATTGAAATCCACATGAGAGCTTTTTAATGTATTTTATGTTCTATAGAGGATCAGCAGACAGACGTTTCGTCATTACCGGCTTCTCTTTGTTATTGATTCGCATGTTCCGCAGCATTCAAATATATTTTTGCTTGCATATTCATAATGCTTCATGGATGATTGGCGGGTCAGGATGTAATAGCGATATTCATGACACGCGAAAAATAATATCAGTCGAAAGCGCGCATAGAGATTCTCTGATATGTAGTTAGAAAGCTCCAATATGTAGTTTGTCGAGAGTTTGCGTTCCGACAGATTTTCTTCAATTACTTGAAGCATAATCATATTAACTATTCTTGCTATATTGCAAAAGATCGTATTATACTGCGGTTTCGGTAATTACATCTCGGGAATGATTTCATTATGCATTATCGCACTGGATCTCGTCGGTTGTTTATTCATTATTGTAAACCTTGTTATTAATTCGATACATGCATTTGGACTTTTCCTTTTGTGAAAAGCAATCGGTGAATTCCCTGTTTTATTCAATGACAGTGCGCGTAAATTACTTTAATAGAATATAAACATATCGTTTAGATTCTATCACCGTGATTTATGTTTCCTCTTTGTGTTTTCCTATTTTGAAGCACATTTATTTAATAAGTATTCTTTATTTTTAATTACAGGTTTTTTTATTTTAAGCATTAATAAACAATTTCTATTCTTTTGGAAATTGCGATGTATCTTTAAATATGAGTAAGTGCAGTTGTTTCATATAATTTTGTTTTGCATAATTGCGTGTGATATATTATTTCAAATATTAATACGATTATATAAACATTAGGTTAATAATGTTTTGGTCTCAATAACCTGTATATTTTAGAAAATATGGTTTGATTAGTATTCGTAAAGTAATGAATAAAGCTTTTCATGCATAAGCTTCTAAAATGAATTCTATGTATTGTATATATTTTTGTAAAAAAAATTTGTTAATATGAATTAAATTTAAACAAACAGAGAAAATAAATTTTTTACATCTAAACAAAGAGAGAAATTAAATTTTTTAAATCTAAACAAAGAGAGAAATTAAATTGTGCCTTTCAGATTTCAATCGCGAATGTTGCGAGAGCAATCAATATGATTTTAATCATAGTAATTATTCTTTACACGAAGTCTAATATTACAAGGAAATAAAGGCGATATTATACGAACTCTCGCTAGTTAAAAATTAACATTTTTTTTTATAGATTCAAAAATTGAAACAAACCGGTAAGATAAATTCGACATATTATATTAAATTATCAATGGCTAATATTAAAACTTACGAATATTTCCATTAAGCATATCTAAAAAAGATGTTTTTTTGTTAAAAAAAAAAATACGGCTAAAGGATAAATCAAATCGATAGTGTTTTATTCGGCGGTGCTTTATCCGGCAGTGCATTAAAGAAAAAGTGATACCTGATTGGGTCTGATTCGCTTCATTTCTGTGTCGATCAAATGAACTATACGGGTCGGAAAATGTGCGTTGTATCGCGTTCTAAAAAGATATGACACACAGGCGTCGCGACGCTGCAACACGAGGAAGCGTCGCGCGTCGAATGAAGCTGACGCTCGGCGTCACGACGCCACCTGTGCGAACCTGCGTCTTTCACAAGCGAAAAGTCTATGCTTAGAGGGTTTTTGGAGTATCTGTAGTATAAATTTTTGATTGATGTTAATTCTTTATTTATTCGCCTGAACTGGACATAAAAGAGGACGATTCTCTTTCACGTCCAGTTCAGGTGAATAAATAAAAAATTAACATCAAAAATTTATGTTACAGATTCTTTGGCAGTCATTGATTTCTTCCGACAGAACTGCATTCTTTCATTTGGCAGACTAACACTACATTTGATCGTCTCGTACAATGAAATAAGATGCGTAGCATATGTTTATTTTCCCCGCCTGTGTCAATAACTACGTGTCAAAGTAACGATAAATTATATTATAATGATAGAAGCATCGTCGCCTACGAGAATTTGCTAAAAAAATATTAAAAGTTTCCATTGCGCTATATTTTAGTATCTATAATAAGTATCTCTTTCTTCAACTAACAATTAAAAAAAACTAATCAAAGAAAGATAAAATAATTAATATCAAAATGGAATATCACAGAAATGCGCTTTAGTCAAGCTCATTCTTTACCCAGTGTAAGCTGCTAATCAAATAAAGTAATTTCATTGTACAAATGACACGCAATGACATTATTAAAATTGAGCGACAAGGCCAAAGAAATAAATACTTCCCTGAAATGGGACTTTTCACGGAAGTACTCGTTAATATATAATTATAGTTATAAATGAGACTAATTTTGTAATATTCAACAGTACAATAGTAATTAATATTGCAATGTCTAATATGATAAAAACGAATTTATCACGAAATATGTGTTTTCTCAATTAATCAAGTAATGTTTGAAACGGAATTAACTTTAATCAATATCTTCGTGAAAGAAAACTTTCAGGGGATGACTTTTATCTTTCATTCGTCGACACTGTCGCAGTAACCCTAATCGAGTGGTGGACTAGGGAAACGAACTATCATATTTTGTCGCGCTTTAATTTGGTATGTCTATCTTTTTTTTTTGTTACGTTTTATACGTGCGTTTTCTATTCTCACATATTTGTTCTTATATCACGGTGCTGAAATCGATGTTAGTGGGTACAGTGCAATGACACATCGATTATACTACGGCTTATAGATACCTCCGTGTCACGTGAACTCTTCAATAGATTTTGCTTTTGTTGAAACATACAATGTGTTGTAATAAAGATAATTTAAAAATTAAAAAGCTTGTGATTTCAGATGAAATTAGTAGCAGTTTATATTTTAATTTAACAAGCCAGATTGAATTTGTAGTAATTGAACGAAAAATAAAAATATATTATATAAAAGTGTAGGTATTGCTTATATGTATATAAATCTATAGTCTAAAACTATAAATCTATAGTCTTAAAACTACGACAATCACCTTTTGATCGTAACTTTACCAAGAAATAAGATAATTATCGAAGCCGCTTTTACAATCGCGGACGAATATATCGTCTCGCGTACTATTTAATGAGAAATCCCATTTTCGATTCTTATCGGTTACGTTAATTATTAATAATACGATTAATTCGCCACTATTATATCGAAAGCGTCTTTCTGACTCATCGTATTACGTAAGGCACCTTTTATGTTGAAACGGAACAAAACACGTTCGAAAGCTACGAGCCACTTTGTAAGACTGACGATGTATCGTTTTCCACGTGTCCTATTCACTCAAGTTTTATATTATTTATGAGAGATATAGCTAGAAAGTATAGCTTTGGTGCCATAATGCCGCCATGAAAGCGACAATCAACTACCTAATGGTTAATTCTGAATAGTTGAATATTTATTGTTCCATATTCAGAATCGAAAAAACTCGAACGCGTTAAGCGTGCGTAAATATTTTCATTAAATTCAACTTGGAAAAAAATGTTATATATATGGACATATTTTATATTATACATATAATTATATATAAAATATGTCAATTTTATATATGTATAATTATACATGAAACACTTTTTCTTCCGGGAAGAACAATCATATATCACGTAACAGATATTTCGGTTTATTTACAATATTTGGAATCAAAATGCGGTGGCAAAACAATTTATTATTATTTTACGATAATTACGGACAACAATTATTTTTGTTTAATGTAACATTTTTGTCTTGCTTAAGTATAACTCTCGATTATTCTTCGAATAGTATCACACGAGTCATAAAAAAGCAACGTTAATAAATACTCTCATGCAAATAATGTAATTTATGCGATTCCTATTTTCACAATTAAAATATAATGTAATTAATAATTTAATTAATTTTTTTCGTTTTCGTGCATTTTCCGTGATATGAGAAAAAATTGAGTGTAACTTCGAAACTATTTATCGGTAATAAAAGAAACATTTCTCTCCTTTATTAATCTCTAACTCATTCCATTCTAATTATATCTTACAGACATCGTAATAAGAAATTTAGCTCTTTTATTTGCTCTGAGTTTATTTCGCAATGGTGACGTGTGTTTGATATTCATTTCTACAAGTTAACTGACAATTGTACAGTAACATAGAAAATAGTATATTACATTTTTCAGACGATATTTTCCCTCTCTGGGTACACCTTGTCGTGGTGAGAGGGCTCAGTATTCAGAGGATTTTTACAAGAAAAGAACGATTTTTCTCAAGTATTTACAAATTTTCGGATCTATCTTAATAATGTATCTAGATAAATTTTTAGATATTTAGCAAAACCGTTCTCTTCGTGTAAAAATCCTCTGGGGAAGCTAACGTACCCTCGTCCGCCGATTTAATTGAAAGTGAACGAACCGCAGCCGGTTCGTCGCGTCGCGCGTTTGCTTCGGGAGTGCCGTTAAAGTTATCGGGCTAAACTCGGGATGAACTTTTAACAAAATCCATTTGATGGAATTTTAGTTCGACGGTGAAATCATATCTGCGATGTTTCGACAGGAAAGCGGAACTCTCTTTGGGACGTTGCTGAGGTGGCTACGGTTACTGCAACCCTCTCACGCCAAGTGCTCGGGCACGAGGTGATGCCGGCCGCGTAATGTCACGCACTTCGTGGTGCATGTTTGCGCGGTTTAGCAACTACTGTTGCTGTCGGCTAATTGAGGACGCGCTCTGTCTGTCGGTCAACAGTTCGGCCCTTAGCGGTAAGGAGTGATCGATCGACTCGGATTCTTCTCTGGGCCTGTATTCGATAACTCGAGTTATGCAGTCGTTATGAGCCCATAACGATTGCATAACGAGTTATAGAATTCCGTCCTGGTGATCGCCCAAAAAGGAATTGTATAACTCTGATCAGGGCGCTCATTTCTCTGTCATTATCTACCAGCCTAAATCACGTTTAATCTGACTTGGTCAGAGCCTAGCTCTAGTAGTTTTTTTTTAAAAAACTAGCTTCGTGTCAAGGGGTTGGATCCCATTTCCTGGATTGTCTAGATTGTTAGACAATCGGCAATGGTACCAACTTTACTCTTATTAGAGGCGCTTGTCACGTCTACCAGTCTCTTGGAATCGCTCGAGGTACAGCACCACTTGTGACCCACTAGAACTAGCAGTTAGGGCGTATCTCTGAGTCAATTTTAAACATGATTTTGCATAAAACAGAGGTGACGGACTCGATACGATCGATTTCGTTTTCTTTCGTGTGGGGCTTAACTCTTGTTTGACATTTATCGTGTGTTTCGCAAGTACTCGTCGACATGTGATATTGATTCCACTGATCGAAATGGAAATCCTATCATGGGTTTTGTAAACGTGGAGTGCCGCAGTGCCGCGCGAAAGACTTTTTGTTTAAATAATTAGTCCGCGCGCGATTATAGTATATTATTCGCGAGTGTATTACGCGAGTGTCCTGTGCGAGAGGATCAACCTACATCTGAGAGGAGGAGGAGGTCTGGGAGAGGCATCAAGCACCTGCGGAGCACTTTGCGGTAAATATCATTTTTTGCTTATTTTTAGTGTCATAGAAATAACAATAGTAATGTGAAGACATTAAAAAAGTAATTAAAGGGATAATTTTTGCATTGCTCATTTTAGAAAAAAACAAGTTTGGAAAAATATTAAAAAAATTGGTTATACACAATTATGCATAATTTTATATATAATTATACATAAGTAATTTTTTTACATTTCTGCGAACTTGATTTTTTTTCTAAAATATAAATAGTGTAAAAATTATTTTTTAAATTATTTTTAATGTTTTTATATAACATGATAGGAACATTACTATTGTTATCTTTATTACACTAAAAAAGTAATTTTACAAAAGAAAGAAGGGTGTATGAACATGTGTGGACATATTTTATATTTATAAAATTATGTATGTTTACACACATATTTATACATGTTCATGCATGAAAAATTTTTTACCGGGGCAGTTTGGGTTATTTCTAATTGTGTCTATATGTCGTCATTGTTCTTACTCAATATCTCGTTAAAAAACTTTTTTTCCTGGAAAGAATTTATGTAAAGCTATGAAATAAACATTACATTTTTAATGATAATCTACTTCTAATCTGCATTAAAAATATGTTTTTAAATGATCGATTCTCTTTAAATATATCGAAATTTAGGATAGATATTATTATGTATTGAGGAAAAAAGTATTGCTAATTATTATAAATGATTTCTTATAAGATAAACAATTTACATAGATGTGAGGATAGTATATATACCATGTTCATGTATATAATGATTTTGATTTCTTTTATTTATAAAAAATCAGTAATGCTGATTCAGCTATGTCGATTATATATAAATACAGTATGATTGATATCCTTTATGATAATGATTGATATACATTAGTAACGACTTTAGATGACGTGGTAAATGTATAATAATATTAGCATATATTATACACACACATATGTCATGCACAATTATATGAATGCCAATGTTTAGCGAATATGCGCAAAGTTGGCATATTTTGGCTATGTTGTTTAAAAAGCCATTGTATTATTGTATTTATATACAATTAAGCATATGAATATACACGACAATATTTAATGAATGTGAGCAAAATTGGATTATTCTTTTATTGTAACACGTAGAAAAATATTATTCTATTACTCAATTTTCTTTCTTTTAAGTAACGTGCGCTAATCTTTAACGAAAAATATTTTTTTTGATAATCTTAAAATATATTTATTTCTTTTATGCTTAAAATATATTTATAAATTTTAGAACAACTCATTTGTTATTATGCATTCAAAATATAAATTTTCTTTTAAAGAATATTGTAAATTGATCGAAGAAGCAACTTTATACATATAATAAGCAAATCGGTTTACTTTAATAATTTTGATTGAAGTATTGTATTACATTATAATTAAATTTACTAGGATTCACAACATATCTTAAATCAATTTGACGTTTGTAATGAATTCATGATAGATTTGCAGTTATATAAACTTTTGAAATGCTTGAAAAAAATAATTATGTTTGTGTATGGTATTTTTTTATGTGTATAAATTGTCATACAATGTATAAATGTGCATATTGGCTAACATTGTAGACCAATGTCGTTTGAAAGAAATGTCTTTATAATGAATAACATCAATATTGATAATTCGTGGAAATGGAGTTTACATACATGAGAGGACAACATTATATTGGCTAATGTTGACGTATACTGGCTATTGTGTTGGAACCGAGAATGTATTTAGAATGTATTCAGAAGCGATTGAGCAAAGGTTAGCAAATTCCGATTATCATTGTACAAAGGTGGTCAGTTTAAAAGAAAGGATTTGGTCATTTGGTAATCAGAACGTTTATTGGCGTGATACGATGTACGAGTTGTGTTATTTAATTACAAAAATGTTCGCGATTTTCGCACTTCTGTTTTCAATAGTCTTCGCATCTGGTAAGCAGTTTTATTCTTAACAATTTAGCAATAAAAAACTATCACATTGAGAGAAAAGTGATATTTGGTATTATAATTGCATAGTAGATTAATTATGGTTAGGAACTCTATTTTTGTAATTATTACTGCTATAATGTTAATAATAATAACTTATACAAATATTAAATATCTTTTTTGATATATAAAACCATAAATTTTATTATTACCTTATTTATTATTACTAACATGTTATAGCAATAATAATGTTAGGAAAAAGGAGCTCTTAATTGTAAGTATCTTATTACACAATTATAGTCATAAATACCAAACATGTTTTTTTCTCAAGATATTTTTAATGATTAAATTTTTTATATGTTTAACTTCGTTAAACTTAACGCTTAGTATAATTGATTTTAGACAAGAGCTTGAACAGAACAGATTTGAAATGTACGGGATTTGCTATTCATAACGTATCTCTTACCGCATATTATCCTGTATTCGAGACAGATGATACACGTGATTATCTAGATGATCAAGGAGATGAATTGAAGACTCTTCAGGTTCGTAAGCGTAACAGACGCAATGTGGCAAAACTTACATACCATTCTCTCTAATATATACGAATTCATTTTAGGATTATCTTGATGGTCGTGCTCATTACGTTACTGTCGCTGGTAATTTAAAATCTGGTATTCCGTATAGAACGAAGATATGCATAGAAAAATTGAATGAGTATTTCGGGAAACAAATTCCCCTGCAGGTGTGTAATTATTATATATCATGTTTGCTGTATTATAAAACATGAGACTCGGCAATGATATTTCTCCATGGCACATATTGAAAATATAGGAAGAATAAAATAATTTATTTCATTTTAGATAAGAGACCAGAATGATTACAAAAATGATAAACTAATCGATTTCTCGAGATTGGAAATTTGTGTCAGGACTGAGGAGGATACTTACGATAATCACCTCAACGATTTTGTTACTATCTATATATTATAATTACATGGAAATTATGTACTTGATTGTTTATTGCTACTAATACTATTAAATTAATATTTTGTAATAATTATAATAATTATGTTATACTATATATGGAATTGAATTAAATCATTTATGCTTATATACAAACAACGATTGTTTGATTTATTTTTACAAATATTTACATATTAATTAATTTGATAAAGCGATATACATTAGTATGAAATTACGATGGTGTGAATTTTGATATTTATAGAGTCAAATGCATTTGTGAATTTTGTAAATATTCATTAATTATTAATCGATTGCGCAATCATGATTTATGATCGTTCTGATCGTGACCGATAAAAAAGATTTTCGTTACGTGTCGTATTAAAAACAATATACATTATTATTTATGGACTTTCCGACCAACGAGGCCATGACTTTATCATTGTGTAAAGACTATTTCCGGGACATTCGGTTGACCAGGTTTGTCGATGTCCAAGAAGCTTGTAATTACTCTTTATTTTGTTACTTTCTACTCCATAAGCAATCAAATTAGCCACTGCTTGTACCGCCGCTGCATTTGGTGTTCGGTCTAATAAAAAAAACGTTAGAGAAATACATATTACCTATATACGATATTAATTACAAATCCATTTTATTTCTGATATTGCTTACTTCTGTAATCTCCGATGATGCAAATTCCAATACTCTTATTATTGAAAGGTATAGAATGAGCGCCTTTCTTGTCCCATCCGACACCCTCATACACATTTCCGTCTTCACCGACTAGGAAATTATAGCCAATATCGGACCAGCCTTTTTTGTCCATGTGGTAATTCTTGAAACAAAATTTGATAATCGTTGTGATATGCAAGTACCATTATTTATTATTTATTAAAACGCAAAATAAAAAAGAATCAACTTTATTCTATTAAAATAGATATATGTAAAATATTATTTGAGTTGTACCTATATGTTTGTTTGCGTACGATGAGTTACAATTAAAAAAGATTTGCCATTCAGAAAAAGTTTTGTTTTTTGATATATTAATTACCTGGAACTGTCTCACTTTTAATTGACATGCAGCTCGAGTTTTGCAACCGGGGCTAACCGAATGATGAATGATCACATAAGGTGCTGGTTTAAATTTAAGATCAGGAGCTTGCGATTTCGGTTGTCTACCGCCCCATTCTTTTCTAGAAATGATGTTTGGACTATCTGAAAAAGTAATTAAAATTAAAAATGAATGATTATGCTCTATGTAAGCATAACCATTAATAATGAATTATAATAAATTTTAATTAAATTAATTAATTAAAATGTAATTCTAAAATCCACTTTAGTTAATTGAGGTTAAAAAAGCTACTATTTTAATAATCTTTAAATGTTTTACATCATTGTTTTTTTTTCTAAAGGACGAACGCAAAGATTTATGAGCTTGCATGCTTTTTATATGTATCTTCTAAATTTTACGTAAACAGAATAGTTTATCACTTAGCGAATAACATTGTTTCTTGAATTAGATCCTTATATGAATATATGAATATTAAATGAATGCTATTATAAGATAATTACATGTATGCCTCTGATTTTTACTGGCGACAAAAATATAAGAATATAAGAAAATATTTATAAATACCGCGAAGCATACAAATATTTCTCACTCACAAATTGAAATTAATATCGTATTTTAGTTTGATGGAAAAATTATTTGAAATGCAAATAATGTCATTGTATTGACGTAATAGCAATTATCAATCTTGACACGTGGGATATTTCCATAATAATTTATCACGTTGATAAATATTTTGCAAATATATTTAACTACTGTACTTATCGCGCAAATACATTAATTAATCAATCGAAAACAGTTAGCGTTTCTCCATGAATCATAAGTATAATGACAGTTTTAATTTATCAAGAAAATACGTAGAGATCGGGATAAGAAACTCATTTTTTATTGAAAATTAACTCTTAGTTTTACAACTTTATATCTTATTGCTTATTTGCAATTACTATTACCAATTAATTTCTGATTAATTATCTTTGAAATTAATCACAAGAATTTTACTATGCTTACGTAAAATATTCTTTTAGCAACTTTTAACACGCACTGTAAGAAATGTCTTTAAAAATTTTGATGCTCACGGAGTCACAAAGCGAAATTTACAGTTTAAACTCGCGGTATAAATAATATATTAATTGAATTACTGGCAGCAGTCTCCTGGATGATCAGTATTACATAAACTGTCACGAAAATTGATGTCGTTGCGAGGTACATTTTGACTTGCAAAACGATACTAATGTATTGCAACTTGATATACAAGTGCATTCGGAGAGACGCTGTAAGCTATTTAACGCTATAAGCTACTCGCAGAACTACTGATAGCGCTAACAATTATAAAGTCACCAATGATAGCATTTTACGTCATAAATTCGCGCTATCAACGCTATTTCTTTTGAGGTAGGGTTATACCATCCGTTCTCTTTTCCCCGGACACCATCCTCTTTTTTTTTAGAGCGTCCGGGGATGTCCGGGAAATTTTTCCAAAGACGTCTGGGATAATTATAAGTCCGGAGTTTTAGAAAATCTTCTAAATTTTTTATTCCTCTGCCGCGTTATTCTGTATTAGTCTTGATTTACAATAGATGTAGTAATTCTTAAGCTGTGAAAAACTGACCAATCATAGTTGAATGTGAGGAGAATAATCGAGTATATAATTGATCAATTTCTTACATTAAATTAGTATTACTAATGAACAATTATATGTGAAATAATTATTCGCGTTTACTGTTCTAGTATTCTGATCAATTTTAATAACCTACACACATTTTTATATGCGTCCGGGGTTTCAAGCAAAATGTCTAGAGTTTTTGGCCTGTAAGTTTTAATTTTGAAAATTTTGATATGGCAACCTTATTCTGAGGTAGTGTGTGGGTAGCGTTAGTGTTTGCAGCACTTATATCATATAAGGGCCAAACGTCGTTTCAAGAACCGTTATAGTTTATAGTTCCCTATATATCCAAATTCAATTAAATCACTGAAGAAAAACAGGAAACAGATTTTAGAAAAAACAGCGGCTATGTCGAGAAGAAGTTATAGATAATTTCAAGTATATTAGACGAAAAAGATATAGTCGATTCTAAAAATGTACTTTTCTAACATAAAATACTATTTTTAATTTTTTTTAATTGTAAATATTTAATTATTGTAAAGTTTATAAATCCTTAATTAATTCTTTGATCTGTTCTTTCATCTTTCTGTATCATCTATATTTGAACATAATATGAAAATATTTTTTTTAATAATAAAAGATTTATTCAAAATATTTCGTAACATAAATTATACATATTTTCTCGCATCTCCGTTAGATAATATTTTTTCTAGTTCTTTATGATTCAACCACTAATATTTTACATCATTGTTGATATCATTTATACGGTTTGCTAACAATAAGAAATACATTATTTTAGCACCGTAATAGTTTAAATTCTAAAATAATGCACATAAATAAATTATTTCTATTATAAGGCAACTGTGATTTAAATTGTGTTTAATACATAAAATAATTTTTCTTTCATAACTCTTGAAAAAAATTTGATATTGTATAATTTATTTTATAAATATATATTTTATAAATATATATTCTATTCTTTTTATAAAATGTTACTATGCTCTATATATTTTAACCTAACTCGACGAATGCTACCAACATTACATTTGTTGTTGGAACTTACTAATACTACCGAGCTGTTGGCTTTGTGAACAGCATTGATAGCGTCTTCTCGAACACCCAATATATAAGCACTTTTAATTCAAGATATTATACAGGACACGATCTTTGACCACATGGCCTATAACAGATGTGTACGTATGTCCATGTACATACATACACATTTGAAGTAATCTTCAAACGGGATTTTCCTGCTAATTTAATGACTTGAGAAAGGGAGGGGAGAAGACTAACGGGAATTTTAGCATTGATAATAGTGCTTAAATCATTTAATTGGAATGATTTATATGTATACATTTATATATTTTACGACAAAATTTGTATAATTTATAGAATTTTATCATTAAAATAATTTATTAAATAATTAGATAACTTTTTTAACAAATTATCTCGTAACAGTTTGCGGAAAACTTAATTATTTAGTATAATTATATAAGTTTAATATATGTGTATAATTATTTAAACTAACTATAAATGAGAAGGATTTTATAATACATATATATTATATTGTACACAAATACTGTCATATACAGAACTACATATTATTGGCTAATAAGAAATGCGAAATAACGAGACAATATATAATTATATATATTTTAAATGCATATGAATGAAAATGATAAATATAAGAGATAGTATGTCATTCATATATTACTTAAAAAAAACTGGGTTTTTTTAAGGAACAATAACCGTTATTAATTACACTAATTAACTAATCTATATAGATAAATCTAATAAGATAACGTGAAATCATTGATAAACGCGTACTAATGTTTCAATTTGCTCACGCTTTGATCAAATCTTTTGATTAGCATATGCAGCGAAACGCACTATGAAAATCTAATTTGGACTCTTATCTCATCTGATCTTTCTGAACTTTCGAAAAACAGTATATGATAATGAAGTTGCGATAATATTACACTATACACGATTATCTTATCGATTTCACGTGTCCGACAAAATGATATTTTTATGAGCGTTCCCAGGAGATAATCTTCGTGATTGACTAACAGTAAATTAATGTTTTTTTTTACAGATTTATACTACCTGGGAATATTTAAATCATCCGTTATTGTTGGCTGATGAATGAGAGTGAAGAATGCAATATGCAGGTCAGTTCAACAGGTATATATGTGTAACGCAAATTCCAAAAAATAGTTTTGTCAATGTGTCAATTGTAAAATCTTTTTTCTGAAAGATAGAGTGAGTGCGAAAAGTATTCGTACAGAGAAAATATTTTTTAAAAAAAACTTTTTAAAAAGTAAATATTATTCAGCGAAAAATGAGTCATCGAATCAATATAAATATCATGATTTCAACATCGATTCGACATTTAATTGACGATCATTTCTTGTTGGATAATTAACAATTTATTCATAAAGACTAAAATAGACTGTATGTTTCTTAAAATTATATATACCAAAAAGATGTGTATTAATTATACAAAATGTATCATCTAAAAAATAAGCGAAAATAAAAAATTTTATTGTTTGAATGCTCAAAAAGTATTCATACAAACAAGAAATTTAGATTCTAAAATCACGAATACATACGAAGTTCATTTGTTTATGTTAGAACAGAATGTATTCATTGTATAAAATTGCTAATTAATGTTTATTTTCTACAAATAAGACTTTTTTTATAACAAATTTCCTTGTACAAATACTTTTTGCTCTCTCTCGCTGTATATGTACAATCCTCGTTTGTAGTAGAATCAATTTTAATTCAATCATTTCAATGTCCATGAAATTTGCGATCATACTTTACATTATACATGTTCCATATGTATTTACGTATACATTATGGAACAGAGTACTTGAGATGATTTTATCAGAGTAATCTATACGAAATTATGCGAAAGACAATTGTACGGCATCGTGCTATTTTGATTACCATTGTCGTTAATTAAATCCGAAGACCATGACCTTAGAGCATATATTGTTGCAACGAGCATAGCCATGTAAAAGAACGGCTCGCACGCGAACCAAGGTGAGAGTGACATTGATCTTGTTTGTCGAACTTGCATGAGAGATATTTATGTCATATACTTTAGAATGTCTTGTTTGATTTTTTAACGATCTGAAACATTACGTGTATGTAAACTTTGAATTTTGACTAATGAATTTTATTGATGGCATTTTAATTGCTACGACGTATATATTACGTTAGTGAGTTTAGTATACGAGGTCACTTTGTGGGAATCAGGGAATCACCTTTGCGAGACAGAGAAAGGCGGCTTTTTTTTTAAACGACTGTTCAGCAGCAAAAATATTTCGTAACGATAATAGTAGAGGTAGCATCAACGGTTATATCCAATACCTACAGTATATCGAACATACTATTATATACATAATATAAAATTATGAGCTTTGCTTATTAAATAATGTAAGCGGATCTGTAGAAGCTAGTGATATAATCACGCGAATCTATTAGACTCTTTTTATAAATGAGAAAAAAAAAGAAATAGAAATATACGATAGTATATTTCATCATAAAATACAACCGTATTTTACAAGCCGGTATTTATAGTCGATTCTTATATTTAAGATCGTCTTAAGTACAGTTTTAAGATGTCATAAGTCAATCACAGACAAAGTCGTATTAGCATTTTAAGATGTTACTTAACACGGTCTTAAAATACACAAGAGCAGATTATGAATACCGGCGTAAGTATTCTTTTTAATACACGGAAAAAACGGTTTTATTAAATACAGAAAATAATTTTATTTGAATCATCAAAATAATTTTTATATAGGACGCTCAAGCTGGTTATTAGAATGTCAAAACTTTTTGCAGCATTTTTTATCATGCTTAAGTTTCCTATATATTGTACATAACTATTTTGATTTATATATAATTTAATAAAATTATTTTTAAATTTTTATCTGTACTTATACCTAAATTTTTAGATACTTTAGTAAAATCATTTTTTCTGTGTAAAAATGAAATAATTTTGTCATACTTACAATTCTTTGTTACGTTAATTAAGATTCGTTATAATTACGGCCGATATATTTAACAAGGACCTAGAAATGTCATTATAGAATAACATTTGTTTTGCTGTTTTCTTCTACGGTATTATCTATCGACTTTGTTGTGATGTTCGGACGTATGTGAGGTTTTGGATTTGCAGTCCAACGGGGAAGATTAACTACGAACTTGTAAAAAGTTTCGCCTGGACAATTCGTGTCTCGCACTTGTCGATGACCAATCACGTTGTAGTTCTCTCTTATCTTGCCGTGTAAAACCCCATAAGCTATCAGCTTGTTCAACGCTTTCAAGGCGGCCTCGTTCGGAAGAAAATCTGCGAAATCATACATTTACGTGCATAATGATTTCTTTGACGTAGAAGACGATACGATATCTCAAGGAAGATGCCTTATATGTTGTTTTACATAAAAGATTAATTTTTTTAGTACAGTCAACTTGAGATGACATTCTTGGTTTTTTAAATGATAATTTATTTTTCATTTATATGCAATTTAATATTTCTTAACTGTAATACAAAAGAGATTGATATAAAAACAAAAATTATTTGTCAATAAGAAAAATTTAACAATTATTTTTATTTTTTAAAAATATTAATCTTTCTTGGATGGAATGTTATTTGATTTACACGAAAAAAAATAGTTTTGCTCAAAATATTATCTAAATACAAATCTAAAAATAATTTTATTGGACTATTAAAATAATTATGTAGGATGCTTTGGCTGGTTGCTATTATTAATAGAATGTCAAAATTTTTTTGTAGCATTACTCATTATGTTTAAGTATCCTATACAATTATTTCAGTAATTTAATAAAATTAATTTCAAAACTCTGTGTCAAGCTGAATTTTTTTAAATGTTTGAGTAAAATCAATCTTTCTCTGTATTATATTTACATATATCTGACGAAACATCAATCATATTTATAATGCCTTAATTACCGGTGAAGTCTCCTATGATACATACGCCAATACTCTGGGTATTGTATAGTACCGCATGTGCGCCAGTATAATCCCAACCGCGACCTTCGTAAACGTTACCGTCTTCGCCAATGACGAAATTATATCCGATGTCCCACCAGCCTCGCTTATCCAGATGTAAATCTTGATAGGATCTAACGATATCAGAGCATGTCTCCTGATCCTGACAGTACATAGGTATACCGCCATGGTGAACCACCACGTATGGTGCTGGTTTTATTGGCATAATCTCGAAATTGAGATGTTTCCTGGCATTCCATTCCTTTCGGCTGAAAATTCTTAAGCACTCTGAATGCCGAGAATCTATCATAGAAAAATTATTATTAATAAATTATTTTCGAATTAAATTAATTCTTTGTAGATTTCGACAATCTTAAAATACGGACAGAAAGATTAACATGTATAAGCTACTGTGCGTAATTGTTATTTAAATGTATTATAGATCCTTGATGATAATAATAATAATAATAATAATAACAACGATATAAAGAATTACGGGTTTCTTGCATTGTCGCGTAGAACAGGTAACAGTAGAACTTGGTAGATATAAATTGGAGTCAACTAACGAATTAGCACGAGCAAGCACGTTTTCAGCAATTAGTTGCGTAATTGCAAATATACTTGTATCGTGCAGAAATTATTTCGTCCTTGAGATACGATGATAGATTGCCCAATTAGATTCCCAAGTTGTAAAATATAATAATTTCGGCTCAGACGCGTCTTGCAAATATGATGGAAAATTTTAGAACTTTGGAAAAATACTGACTAGTCATCAAAAACGTTTTTATCACGAGGAATGCAAATTGTTTACTGGATCGCACGTTTTATCTCGAACAATTTTATTTGTTTTCAATATATGCGTCTAATCGCGCAAATCAACTTACTAACTACAACTACAATTGTAACTTTAAAAAGAAAATTATACTTTCTTCTATACGAGCATACTGTAACAGTTCGAAATATTATAGTCTGGTTGATTATCCTTGAATAATTTTCTTGGCATTGCACGAATTGATATCATAGAATGTTATCATACTACTTAGATACAAACAACTGCACTTTATGTTAAGCGTCGTAACACCGTTAGGAAATTAGACATTACTTAGACACTAGTTACTAACAGTTCCGTTGTAAATGTAGCTACTTTGCAAAAGTTGCGTAGTTGTGAGCCATGTGCTTTTATACTTATACTTATCTAAAGGTATCGTATCTAAAGGTGGACTTCATTATAATGATTAAAGTTTGAATACAGAAATGACTCACAACAATTAAGTGTACGTCAGTGAAACTCAATTCGGAAGCTCGCAGATCTTTTTCGATAACGGAATAAAAGTTAAAAGTCGAATAAAAATTAATTTATTGCGGATGTTTACAATGTTTTTTTATTACATACTTATATAAATAAAAAATATACGTAGGAAATATAAATATAGCTAGCTCGTTATTGAAAGAATTATAAGACCTTTCTGGTTTTTTACACTTTTTAAAGAGAAATTCCACCTTGCGTATACAAGAATGATCGAAAAAGAACCATTAAGGACTTGATAGAAAAAAACAATATAAACACGAATAATAATTAAAAAACCTATTTTGTTGTAGATAATAGAGGAGATTGATATTCAGGAACATATGTATCTTGTGACATACTAATTATTTTTTAATAATGAAATTTTTAATGTTAGCAATTCAGTTATATTGTTTCAGTCAAAATATAATATAACTGAGCAGTTGAACATTAAAAATCTCATTTTATTTCATCAATCAATTATTATTAAAAGAATAATTAGTGTATGTTAATTATTATTAAAAGAATAATTAGTGTATTAGATACATTATGTTCCTAGATATTATACAGTCTCATTTACTTACATATTATAAATAATACAAAAAGATTGCTCTTTAAATTTATTATCTGTATTATAAATCTTATAAATATCTATTGATCCACAATATTATTAGCGTCGCGTAATTTTCTTCGCCACGCAGAAAAACTAATTCTGAAAATATGATGTATCTTCGATTCCAGTATAAAATCTCGAGTTGCTTACCGGTTGCATTGATGAAATTCGTGTTGTTAATGGGAATGGCAAGCACCGCATGCTCGAGGAAACCAAAGAGGAGTACATATAACGCCGACAAGTGAATGAAGTAAGAGGACAACCTCATTGTAATTGACACATTTACAGCGCGTGTCAAAAGTAAAACTGGATAGCCATCATGATGCCGCGTCCGCTTTTAAACGAAAATCCGAACGTAGCCGGGAAGTCCCCTCGGATGAAGAGTCGCGCATCGAGAACCAACCCGTTTGGTAGTTTCTTAACCTGTCCCCTCTTCAACGTGTTTGTCACAGTGATTACACATTGACAATGACGACGACATCGAGAAGGAGTTATACTTGTTCCGAATATATTATCCTGTATTTCGAAAATTCGCACAATATCTACTACATTATTCTGATTGATATCGAAACTCGGAAGAAAGAATTGCGCTACCTATGCGATAAAAAATCGAACACAATAGGTTGAAATTAATGAGAATGGCAAACTGAGTGAGTAACGGTGCGAAAAATACTGTGAAAATAATTACATAAAAAAGAGGGATGAGACTATGTTGAAATAATTAATATGCTATTAACATTTATGCGTTTATATGTTCTAAGAGATTGAAAACACAGAAAAGTGCTGAAAAAATTCATAAAATATATAATAAAAAAATATGTAAAGAATAAGCAAATATTACTTGTGTAGAAAAAAAAGATTATCTTCTTTTTTAATTTAAGTGTAATATTTCTAACGCTGTTATTTATTAATATTTATTTCTACCAATGCAAATTAACTTTGATTTCAGTTTAATTTACTCTTTTGTTTTTTTTTGTCTTTTTCTAATGTTTAGAACTAGAAAAAGATCAAAACTAGAGGAACTGCTTAAAATTAATCTACGTTAATAAAAATGAACATGAATGTGCTGATGTCAGATTTAGGATTACTTGTAAGTGTATGACAGAGAAAAGAAAAAGAGTTATGAAGTCTTGATACAATATTGATTCTATTTATTATATTTATTTTTTTATTTATACAATTTCTTACGTTTTTTTTTCTAAGCACAGTTAGCGATTACGTTATATGAACGCGATTTGCACGGTTTTATCAAATGGATAGTGAATTTCCGATAAGTAATCTAGAAGTTACTAATCTAGAAATTACGTAACTAATCGATATCGCTTGATTATACAGAATATATAAAATTGATCTATTTAGTGAATTGTGAATTTTCAATAATTTTTTTCATTGTTGTCTTGATCAGCAATCCAGAAGTTTTAATAAACAACATCAGCGTATAATTTATTAAAATGTCTACGTATTTCTACATATGAATAATATTAATGAGTTGACATTTTCATGGATACCTGATCTATAATCTGCCACATAATAACATATTTGTTTTTTGATAAGAATGTATCGAATGATCGATGCAATTCGTATAAATGGAACTACGCTATCTCTCTCAAATTAGTTTTATTGAATCTGATGTAATCTGATTTATGATTCAAATGTAAACAGTGAAATATTTTTTTTTCCAGTATTACATTGTCCGCAATTTTACGAAAATGAAATCGTAATTGCAATAATGTGAAAATAATTGAAATAAACAAAGACAGTATTTTGCATTCAATAATGACAATCACTTTATCGAACAGTAGACAAAGTAGGATAATTTCGGTAAATATGCCATGCTATAGGATTACTCTGTTACATGCCTTTATGTTATATTAGTATTGTGTTAATGATTTCAGTTTCTTACTGTTAATATATTAATGAAATTATTGCTAGTTGAATCGATTTGTCACTGTGTGTTAAGTAGCGCCATCATAAATTATCTACATAAAATCTACATAAAATGATTACTATAGGACGTGCAAAAGACTTAGTGGTTATTTCGTGATACATGAATGTAGAGGAATAGTAAAACATAACAAAATACAAGTACTTTGCTCTTGTATTCTTTGTTTAGTTTGTTGTCTTGTATATCCCATCTATTTGAGATATGGCATTTTTAACGGGCGGGATTTATGTTCAAAGTATACAAAGTGCGCAGATTGAATTTAGTGCACTAAATACAATAAACGCATTACATGAAATATATATCTCATGTCATAATACTTGTAATACATGTGGGAAAATTGTAATTATTATTAATTCTGAAATATTAATTCAATTTAAATGAATGTATATTAGATAGTAGTTCAACATCTTAACACACTCGGACCGGTAAGGCGCTTCGTATTTAAAGTTTTAATATAAACGGTCTCGTTTCCAATCATATTATTAATTACTTCATATACATATTTATCATTCTTATTTTTTAATAAAACTTTATAAACGTATTTTATAAGTTATTGTGTCATTTTATAAGTTATTGTGTTTATTATTATTTATATGCATTATTTGTAAATTTTTTATGAGCCATACGTACCTCTTCCTCCTATGAGTAAAATATATCCCACCCTGGGATATACGGCAAAAATGCAAAGGTTTAAAAAAGTTCATTTTTTAATACAAAATATAAATATTTCGGATTTCTAATATTTTTTTCATAATAGTAGACAGTACAAAGTTTTTACTGATATAGTTCCTTTACTTTAAACATAGTTTAATAATACTTAATAAATAATACTTAATAAATTAAGTTTTTGATGTGGCGTATATACCGGAGTTACCCTACATATCGTTCGATATGCATTTTTGTTTTGTTTCTGCTTAGAATAATAACGTCAACGTATAACGAAGAAGCATTGTGTTTGTGAGCGTGTGATCTAGAGATAACACTTTATTAACGAAAGGCGTCGAATGACCTTTGTTTATTCGTCATAGCTGTCGACTAATTGTTTCCTGCGATCGTGTTCGTCATTGACGTAATTCTTACGACTCACGATATGCTGCGTATCGAGTTTCTGTTGAAAGAACGAGTTTCTGCCTTCTATATCGATAAGAATATAAATTAATAAATTCGTTAAAATCGCGATATGCTACAGAATTTATCTCGAGCTCCACGAATGCATTAAACAATACGCGGATGATTCTATCAAAAATAGGCGACATCTAATACAACATCTGATTACTATAGAAAAAAAGTAAAGAAAAAACGAAGTAGAAATTATTTAAATAGTCATTATAAAATCGCAATCATTGATGTATAGTCGTGAACAATGTTGATATCGTCAAAGTAGTAAAAATTAGTGGACGAAGATATTTTTTTTGCAGTATAAAAATGAATAAGAATAAGTGCCCGTTTTATAATGACGTAAAACAAACGAACAATAAAATTCTTTTGTATATTTTTTCAAGCCTTTTTTAATTCCTTATGAATGACAAAATTATTGTCCGGAATCGCTGTTATCAGAAACGATTAAATTGACAATGAAAAAATAATACCGATGTAATTAATGACTTTATTCGAAAAATTATCTGATCATGGGGCAACGATAAGAACTACAGAATTTTGTCACGTATACTGTATTGTTGTAAGAAGATGGAAGAACGCAACTCTTTCTTTTTCTTGTAGAAATAAATTGACTAAGTATGTTGGCCTCAAGGGAATCTTAAAGCGAATCTGTTTTATGAATTTTTTTCAAGCACGTTTTTCTGCACTGTAAAGCACTGTCTTTACAGATTATAAAATTCTTTTTTATAGTTAAAGTATAATAGATAAAGTAGTCCAAACCGGTCCGGACTTTATGCCAAAAACGAAAAAAAAGTGTGAAAATTGTTTTGTTACCGACTTTTAATGTCGACTCGTAATAATGTATGCTTTCCATTTGATGACACAAGTTGACACAAGTCGACACAAGTTTCGTATCTTTGTCACTCTTTTAATGTCAAGAAGGATAGAACGACGCTTATGTGTCGACTTGTATTATTAAATGGAAACCATCCAATGTTTGCTTTATATATGAGTTTTATACTTTGTACGTATAAAACAATCTTGGTTTGGACTAGAGATTACACGAACAACCAATGTTGAATACTTAGAATTAGGTTTAGATACTTAATATGAAAGATTAGTTAGTTAGAAAATTTGTGTGTGTGTACGTTGTTGTGTGATATTGATATAGTAGTACATAAAGATATATCGATGTGTCACATTTTATCGGTAAAACAGCAATCTCATCGAAATTCGAGCTTCACTTTAGGATCCCTTTAAATGTATTATTTTGCAAATATATAGTTACAACAAAATAAATCTTTTAAATAAAAGACAAACAATTAAGTCTTCAATAACAGTTATTGTAGTTACATAAAAATAATTCAAATTGTGATTTAAAATTTAATTTTTCAGTGGATCTATTTCGCATCAATTCAACTTGCATATTGAATATAAACTTGAAAACTTGAATATTGCATTATAAGTTGTTTAATTTTTTAAACTCCCAAGTATTATATAATATTGTTCTCGGAATATGGATGCAGAAATTGCACAACTATATACCAGATATCGTAATTTTCTCTCCGAGCAAAGTTCAAGTTCGAGAAGTGATCTAGTAGTTTTCTGACTTATCATTGTAGATATACTGAAACGTTATTTGGTGCAGAAAGAGACTGAGAGAGGACGTATCTGCATTGAGCTGAAAAATATTTATTGGCGCGTCTATGTCGTCTACGTACACTTGAATTATAATATAAGCTGAATTATAATATAAGCACTAATATTTCTAGTGAATATTCACAATCCTCGATTTTATGTTCAAATAATTGTTACACAATTATATTATTCTGTAAATATAGCATGGAATAGTATTAAACAATTAATCACAGAAATTGAAAATCGTAGATGTGTTACCCGCCGGAAATATTAGTAGCTATGTAGTTCAACGTATATGTACGCTTTGTGCACATTAACTCAATAAATGAGTTCTGTTTAAAATATGGATATGTCCACTCCTCTGTAATGATATATATCTTATTTGATACTTTAATTTACCCTAGATGTGTGACTTTTGAATTTTTTTAATCAAACTTATCGAACAATGTTCAAATTTCGATTTGCAGAAGGTGCAGCCGATATTGATGAAGGTATGGCTAATCATTGACATTTTTTTATTATGCAATCAGAAGCAATCACAACTATTTTCGTCTTCTGATCCCTGAAGATAAGTCTTAGTTGTGGTAGCTTCTGGTTAGATAACGAAAAACCGCCCCACATTGTTGTGATAAGTCTTAAAACACGTGCCTGTCGTAATTTGAGGTTAGAGTGTTACAAAATTGTTTTCCCGCGAATATTCAATTCACATCTTTCAATTTTTACGAAGCATATACGCGCAAAGAAGTTATCTATCTAAATAATTTTAGTAGATAGCGAACAGAAGGATAAATTAGAATGGATTTCTGCTTCCAAACTTGAAATAACTCCCGAACAAATCGAAGCGAAATATGAGGCTTATTATTATACAGAGACCGAAGTGTTATCTAGTTATAATTTAAAATTAATCCGTTCCGATAAAGTAATGCAGGATTTAACTGATCAGAATATTATTGAGGCTGAGTCGAAACATTCCGATCTCATTCCAGCAAAATATGAAGGTGATTTTTGCAAATGAAAATTTTTTTTCTCAAATTTACTAATTTAAATTTTATTCGAATCTCCTTGAAGTTATGTGCTTAAAAATTAATTGTGCAATTAAGGTGGTTTAAAAATCTGGGAATGCACATTCGATCTGGGCCAGTACATATTGGAAAAAGAAATCGATTTGAAAGACAAACTTGTTATGGATTTAGGATGTGGCGCTGGAGTGATTGGTCTTCTGTCTCTTCGTAAAAATTCCACCGTTCATTTCCAAGATTACGTTCGTATGATTTATAATTGTCACGCTGAAAAGTGGGCCGTGATTAACGAAATAATTTTTTGTAGAATACCGAAGTGCTAAAATCCGTGACCATACCGAACGTAATATTGAATTTTAATCGTACGATTGTACTAACGAGATGCGAATTTTATGCCGGGGATTGGGCTTCTCTCGCGACGTTAATCGATGAAAGTAAAAAGTACGATTATATCTTTACGAGCGAAACGATTTACAATCCTGACAATTACAAAAAATTATATGAAATTTTTAAGAGAAAGCTAAAAGCAGATGGCGTTGTGTGAGTACATTGGATTACTGATGTCTTATTTTTATCATTAAAATTTAAGTTTTAAAACAGGTAAATTTCTATTAGATTTGTCGCTGGAAAAACCTATTATTTTGGCGTGGGAGGTGGAATGAGACAATTTGAGAATCTTATTTTAAAAGACGGATGCTTTGACGTCGAGTCGGTGTGGAGAAGTCAACATGGTGATTAATGATTAGTTGTAAATATATTTTATCTTTGTTAGTTCAACGATATAAATTGTATATATTTCAGGAGTAAACAGAGAAATTCTGAAACTCACAAGGAAAACGCATCAAGAATATCAAAGATCTAATGTATAACATTATTGTCTTCATAATACTATGAGGTATCGACTCGGAATATTGCGATAATCAACAATGACAATAGGTACTTCTGCAACGAGATTTGCTCGAATTTCTTTTTCTTCTTGTTTGTATACGAAATTCGTTAGCTCTCTCTGTCGTTTATTATCAATAAATGCGACTTTTTTTATGGCGAGAGTCTCTCGTATACCCATCCATCCTTTCCTTCGTGCACGAGAACATTATCTATTTTTTCATTCGTTTTTGGGCGTCTGAAACGGATTCTATCGTGAAGACGATCGCTCTGACCTTGCCAAAATTCTACAGAGTGTGGCACGATGAGATAACCGCCCCTGAAATAAGATATCTGATACAGCAAATGATTTAATCTTTATAAATAAACGATCTAAATTTGAAAATTATACACGTGACACACAGACGATACTATTAATCTACGAGTCTGTTAGCGACAACAAATATGGTGTTGTGAAACGAAGCAATATGTTGTCACACGTGATTACTTATCCTTCTTTGGTTTTATCTTTCTCGTGTAAGAAATCTTTCTATTCGGAATTAGAAATATTAACCTATTAATGCTTACGCGCGCACGTTCTCCAATTTGATAATGATTTACTACCCATTGCAGTAAACACCAATTAACAGTGGCGTGAAAGAAAGACATTAATGTTATAATTTTATACTATAAACAGTATAAATATAATATAACATATATACATAATAGTTACATTGTTGAGCTTGAAATTATGGCATTGATGTTATGTCAGTTGGTGTTTACTGAGTAATGATGACTAATTATTTTTTAATTATGGTGTTACCTACCAACAAGCAGGTCTTTCAACTTGATTCTCTGGAAATTTTGCGAGCAGTTCCTTTTCTTTAATAATAAGAGTCTGTCTACTAGCAATCACACTACTTTGCTTGCTGGCCATAGATCCGATTTGATTCTCATATGGTCGACTTCGAAAATAATGATCTGAATCTTCCGCTGAGGTTTTCTTGGCGATACCTTCGATACGTACCTAAAATAATTAGTAGTAGTAAATCACATAAAATGATTATGATGAAAGAATTAATTAAATGTTGTTGCAAAAGATAATTTTAATTCGCGAAAACTTTGCTATTTATGAGATAAAATATGATGTAAAAAAACAATGAATACCGTACACTTCGTCTAAGAGATTCCCAATAGAAAGTTAATGCAGCATGCGGATTTTCAGCCTGTAAATAAATCGAATAATATAGAATTTGTTTGTCTTCTTGGTATCAAAAAATATCAATTAAATATTTTAAAATGTCTGAATTAAATATCTGAACTCACTAATTCGCGGCCTTTCCTGCTGTCGTAATTCGTATAAAACTTGAAACCTTCTGTGCCGAAGCCTTTTAATAACAATACGCGCACGGATGGTACACCATCTCTGAAACAATTACATTACAAGATGTGACAATGTGTTGATAATTATTTGCATAATCTTTTTATGATCCATGAGCTTATTTATTTATTTTTTATTTTTCTTTTACGCGATTAATATTTTTGTTAATTAACAGATTGCAAAACACTGCTAATTATATTCATGTAAATGTTTTCTCTTTTTCGATGACATACATAACGTGTGTCTATTTATATTTAATTTTATTACGAGATAATTTTTAAATTAAAAATAGAAAAGATATTACCTTGTTGCTGTCGCGAGAAGCATCGCATTAGGCTCTAAAATTTCTGGAGTATTGCGTGCCTCCTCAAACCATGCTTTGAACTGTTCCATAGGCTCCTTGCTAATTAAATCGTTCTCCGTAAAGGTTTCATGTTTATCTTTGTATTTTATTCGCATATCTGTAGAAAAAATGAATTAAAGATAAATAGATTAATAATTTTCCGAATTTTTTTTTAATTTTGTAATATTTTTCAGTAATCTCTTGATTTTATTATTTTTTATTAATAATATTAAATTAGTCATTGATATATGATTAGTTATTAATTGTAAAAAACGTTCCGCAATATACATACGATATTTCGAGAAAATGAGATTTTGCTAAAATAGATTTCGATCGTAAAAAAAAATACGGCTAATGAAGATTAAACCTCATAGATATTAATAAATAAATATTTACTAGGAGAAATCAACAAGTAAAATAAATTTACTTGTTCCTTATCTACAATACACATTAGCAAAATGTATATATGTACAACATTATTTTTCAATGTAGTTCGCCTTCGAAGGTTCTTGCTGCTGTCAAAGTCATGTATGCACTTTCTAAATTTCAAGATAATTGAAATTTTTTACTAGCCACGTAGGATTTTCTTTAGGCACAATTCCATCAATGTATGATTAACTTTAATTTTGGTTCAAATTTACTGTTTATCTTTTTTTAATTCTAAGAATTAAAAAAAGATAAATAGTAAGTTAAAACCAAGATTAAAATTCATTTTATTTGGTGAAACTGAGCCTTAATGGTCATATGTAGACCCATCATGTGTAGACTGTACAGTGTAACTTTTTTGCGGTTAAAAAATTTTTATTTTTTTCATTTTTAATCAATTCTTGTTTACATTGCAACAATTTCATGAATTACTTAAACAAATTGAAAATAAAATGATTTGCGTTAAATAATATAAATAATATTTAAAAAAATAAATATAAAATTCAATATGTAAATAAAAATTCGAAAATGTTTTTTCTAATTAATTATAATTATTTGTAATATTATAAATTGCGTTGTTTAACATGTAAATGTAATAAACGTTTAATTTAAAATTATTTATGCACTGTAAAAAAGTCATTTTCGGATTATTCGATAACAAAATTTTTTGAAGCCAATAGTTAAACTATTTTTTCTTTTACAATTTATAATGTCAATTTTAAGATATGAAAAAATATTTTTCCTCTTTCATTTTTTGTTTCAGAGTTTTGCATTTTTATATGAAAAAGTGCATTTTTTTTCGGCTATAATTAATTATAACATTTATATACAATTTTTTATAAATACACAACTATAAATATTTTCTAAAATCTAAAGATATCAAAATATACGTAAGAATTATTTTATAATTTTTATATACTTATAATTAAATTAACCTAAGATACGAAAGGCCACCATATGTAATAAAAGTACAAAAAAATTTTTTACGCACGAGGATTTATTGTCGAGAAATTAATATAAAAAATCATAATTGAATATATAATTAAGAATATATAATTAAAAAATCGTAATTAAAATATATAATCACATTATGATATATATAATAATGTTTGAAATTATTTATCCTTCTGACAATTTTATATATATATATTTGCCACGATACACGAGCAAACATTAGTTTATTACACAATATTATACAAAATTGACAATTCTATGTGGCGGTTATTTATTAATTTACCTCCAATGTCAACAGTGTAATTCTCACTCTGGAGCGACATGATGTTGCACGACTGTTTATCCGACCGACTCGACTGCTTAACGACAGAACAGATGACCGATCTATTGCACGAACGAAGTGTGACTGGTACAAAACGCGCATGCATAGAACGCGCCGACCATCGAATCAATACATTTACAAATGGGAAAAGAAGCGACCTCGTCATTGTTATCTTGATGTAGCAATCTATTTTTCCGATAATATCGTAGTTTCATTATCACATGATAGAATTACCCAACGACGAAGTCGCTCGGTATAAATGGACCAGATATTTTTAAATCTACTATTCAAGCTGCTAAAAATTCTAAATCAAAGGAAACACTTGAAGAACGTTATATATCTATTATTTTCAATGTTCCGTAAAATTGTTTTAAAGTAGATATATCTAATACAAATAATTATTACGATCAGGAGCAAGTGAGAGGCTCGGAATCTCGAAATAGAACCTCTCTCATGTAATCCGTCATTGAAATTATCTTTTCCACTCTCTCATTAGATGGCGCAAAACGTAGGTAGGTGCACTAATTAGCACGTTGGCGGTGTTTTTAATTATTAGTATATTGCTATTGCAGTGATCTTAAGAACGTTTCAATTTTAAAAATATCTTTAGTTATTGGGTAAATAACCAATATATAACAATGTCATAATATAATTCTTTATTTTATAAATCATTTTTACAACTAATTATCAAACGATAAAATAATTATGTTGACTGTAATTATGAATCGCGATAGGATAAATTATAATTGTCCATTTGGGCAGTTTTACGATTGAAGCATATTATTTCTTTATCATTTTTATTATTTGCTAAAAATTAAGCACAGTCACGCGTTTTGCGAAGTGATATTGGTTTAAATAGCGACATTTCCAGTTTTAAATGCATAGCAAGTTAGCGCAAATTAATTTTATATATTTTGTATCTATATCTCTGTATATTTACAAAACTAATTTACTAACTAACTCGTTGATTAACTATAAATATAACTTTCATATTCTTTAAATAAACGTATCATTAGCATTATCTTTGTTTATTCTGAATTGTCTCTCACGGCTTGTTTAATTTTTAAATTTGTGTGAAAGATTTGTGTGAAAGTGATTCAATCAGACAACATAAAGTCCAAAATTGGGACATGAACATACCACATATCCCATTTTTGGATGTGCAAGTTATCTGATTTATCGCTTCTCTGATGGCAGAACCACATTTACGTTCACTATGGATAGTTAAGCTCCCACTACTGGCAGTGATCTATTTGGCGCGATCAGGGGCACTTTAATCATTCCGTCACTATTTTTCACACCTTCGAATTGTGTGTCATCAACGTTGTTCGTTGTCACGAACGACGTAACAGTTTGCATAATAAGCGATGGTTTAGTATTTGTCGGTCTCGTAACTCGCTCGATTTTTCCGGCGCGATCCCAGCTCGTCTGATTTTCGCGAGTCCGCGTTGCATCATTCGCGATAATCTGGGAACTGATTTTCTGCGAGAAAATCGCGTTACGATCATTCCGCGTATCGTTAGCCGTGCGCACTCGTAATCGTCGCCGGCGCGTTCTAATTGTAGTCATAGTATTGTTTTCATCATTCTTTATAACTCTCGCGGTAGTGCTCCTCGGCGTTTCGATCGTGGTCGAGGTTGTTTCGTTCAAACGACGATTTCCACTGTTGTCGGCGGACGCGAGCGAGTCTGTGCAATTTGGTGGTGGTTCTCGGTGCAGGTACGTGATCGGCCAGTGTCTGCCATAGTAATTAGGATCATATGGATGACGATCATCGGGACGATCGTAGCGATCTTCGCCACCGATCATCGGTCGGAACGGACGTGGACTCGGTAGATAGGGGTAGTATTTCTCGCTACAAGGTCGCCATTGATCCTCTGATAATCCCACGTAGCACCTGCAATTTATTAATTTTTAGTTGTCTGGTTCTATTTACAAAGCACAAAGGAATCGAAGAAAGTTGCAGTATGGGAAGTAACAGGACACGCCTCTTGTCAATGAGGCTGTTCAGTTTTATGTATTTGAACGCAGGATAAAATCATTCTTATCAAAAAAAAAAAAAAGAAATATTTTTTTGTCGCGTTTATAACATAAATATCGTCAACTATGAAATTTGAGATGTAAAAAGAAAAGTAAAAGTATATTACGTTGTGATATAATCGAGTTGTAATAATATAGGTACCATGGATAATGATATCCTTGCGAAAAGCCGCAATGATGAGTCGGTGCGCAACAATAGTCCCAGCTGTCGAATCCGCCTTCTTCAGTCTCGCAGGCCCAAAATCCAGCGAGTTTATTTTTTTCGCACTTTGTACCTCTTTTACACGGATGACCGTTTACCGTGTAATAACGGAAGGTCGAGAATTCATCCGCTGATTTAAAATAAATTAATCAGTTTCATTTTACGCAACATTTTGCGAATAATTAAAAAATCCATAATTGTTAGATTAATCCACTCACGGTAAAGAGATCCGAATCCACCGAGATAAATTCCGTATTTGTCACCACCGTATCCATAACTACCAGAAGGATACGGTCTGACAGGATCAGGGTTATCAGGATCGAACGGTCTCACACCATGACTGCCTGGTTTCATAAAGAAAGGTCTTGGATCGATATAAATATCATCGGGTCTTAGACTTGGATATCTTCCGAGATTAAAATCAGGTCGCGATTGATCTGAAAGCACTGGTTTCGGCGGATTTGGTCCACCATGCCCGTGAGCATCGTCCGGCGAATAACTGGTGACCACACAGTAAGGATCGAGATCTTTCCATGTGTAAAGAACATGATCATTGTCGTAGGTATAGTCTAGACCCGGTCGCAAGTCCCTTATAGGTACATCGCTGAGCAAACAATTTTCTTCTGTGCCATGCGTAGTGAGCCTGGAAACGAAGTTAATGTATATTAATAAGAATTAAAGATAAATAATGTTATTTTGAAATTTTTATTTTTTAAAAGAATAGAAAAGTGGCTTTATTATTGATTTCATTTAAATTATGAGTGAAATTTCAGTTTATAAGAAATTATAATTATTATAATTATTATTAGAAACGTGCATATTAATGTTGTTATATTAATTTATTAAATTCAAAACAACATCCAAGAATTTCTTACTTGTAACTGTAAGACAAGCAAGGAACGGAATCAGTTTCTCTCATTTTTGAGCACTTTTGTCGACAGTCTTGTTCCGAATTCACATATATTGCCAAGAGCACAGCATAAGGTGTCAATTTGCACGGTTTGTCGTATCCAGAATAGCATACTGTGAAAAGATTTGTTAACAGAAAAATTTAATTGATATCAATTATGTTCAAACGTGAAATAGTTAATATTATATAATATATGTGCATTAGATTGATGTATCTTGCCTTCGTCTCCTTGCGTTTGTTTGCCATTGTACCGTTCCATATTGAAAAACGGTACAGCATAAGGTTCGCATCCTCTGCCGAAACTGCCTCTTTCGTATACTTCTGCTCCGTCCATATCCGGCATGTGAGTAGGGTTGATATCTTGCGATGGCCAATCACTTAGGTAACAATTAGTTAGAATATCCGATCGTCCATGTTCCAATCCATACCTGAAATATATTTCGCAATATATAATACCTTACTAAAACAATCCATTTAATGTAGTCTACTGCTGATACTGTACTTCGGCATGAAAGACTTACTTGAACGTGAAACTTCTACACATAAAATCGTGCGTTGTCATACATTCTGCTTGACACTCTCCTAGATCGTTGACTATTAGCGATTTTCTAACGACGTCCGCGGGCATTCCAAATCCACTTCTGACTCTCCAAAAACATTCTAGAAAAATTTCATAAAGAAAAAACAAGTCCCTCAAGTGACTCTCGAGAATTTTATCAAACTGGGAAAGAGAGAAAGAGATAGGCAATTCATTGTTGTCGATTTTAGTTGTTACCGGAAACACAAAGCGGAACGCATAACGTATAGTAACGCAATCGAGGGCAGTAGTGTAACGCTCGAGACGATAAATTGCATTGTTTGTTGAAAGACAATTTTATTTATCCCCTGAGTAGTTTAGGAAACGGAATAATACATTAAAAATTATTTTGATTAAATTGCATTTGTATAATTAAAAGTAATTCACAGTAAAGTTACTTCAATCAAATCGTATACCATCTGGAGGATGCGAGCTTGGTTCTCTCCTCGCGCTGCATGTTCTCGAATTAACGATTATGGCGTAAATATCGTAATCACGATCAGGTTCGAGATCAATGTAAAAATTCAGATCTTTGTATGAAACATCGCTAAGAAGACAATTGTCCGTTGGGTCCGTGGGTGCTACATTGTATCTGTCCAATAGTAACGTAAAAAATTAAATTAGTATTATGTACGAATTTGATACTACTGAGACTAAAGGATCCTACATTAATTATATGGAAAATTTGATTTCGATCAAGTCAGTTTTCATATATAATGTAGTTAATAATGATGAATAAAAGATGTTATCGACACAAGGCTCAACAATGGAGTTGAACAATAGTTTTTAAGTTGGTGTATAAAACTTATACTTACAGAGCATCTTTGACACATCATTGAGTCTTGTGTCTATGATATATCTTTTGTTCATAATATTATAAGCTACATTATGTGAAAACAAACTGATTTCATCAGTATCTAATTTTCCGTGTAATTAATGCGAGATCCTTTGTCATACTACTGA